AACAAATAAGTTGTCCATGGTAGGGCTGATTGTTAAGAATCAGCGCGTAAAGAAACCAAGGCAAGCAGCATCGGCCGCCGCAAGAGGGTTGAGGGCGCTATATAACTTTAACGGTCAACTATTGTTGACGGTCTTATTTCGGCAAAGTTCGGGTAGTATTTCAACGATTAATTTACATCTTTGTGAGGGCCTGCCGTCAGTAAAAAGAGAGAATCACCCACAATAAGATGGCCCCGCTTCAAACTCTAGAAATATTGATGTAGGAAACAAAAGTGAAATCAGCAAGACGGTACGTTCAAGATTGACAGCACCAAGGAGAAAGCTGCCGCCAAGGCTAAGGCAGCTAAGGAGAAGGAGAGAGTCAAGGCCAAGAAGGAACGGGAAATGAAAGCCGAGAAAGCCAAGAAAGCCAAGATTGTAGAGAAAGCCAAGAAAGCCAAAATGGTGAAGAAAGTCAAGAAGCCCGCGCCGAAGAAGTCACCCAAGAAAGCTGCCAAGAAAACTCCCTCCAAGTCAACTAAATCATCTGCCAAGATATCCTCCACCAAGCCAGCCAAGCCAACCAAGCCAGCCAAGAAGCCAGCCAGCAAGAGCACATCGAGCAAGCAGAAGAAAGTGTCGGCCAAGCCTTCGAAGAAATGAATCATCGAATCAACAAACTAAAACCAAACGGCTCTTTTCAGAGCCACAACACTTTTACAAAAGAGATTATTTGTCATGATTACAGTTTTCAATTGTTTTTGTGTGTGTAAGTTTTGTTTAATTTTGAGAGAGAGAGGGGAAGGGGGAGATAGAAGACAAAAACAAGACCAGTGCAATGGGCGGAAAAAGAGGGAGCCTACAGAATCATGGTTGGTCGTTGTCTCGTGGCTTGATGAACAAGGCAATAATGTAAAGCGCTGTGAGATTGTTGATACCATGGAAAGCGCTATATATATATTTTATTTTATTCATTCACAGGTAATCAAGGTTCATAACAACATTATGCAAACTATTTTAACAAGAGTGAAACAATTACCTCTTTACCAACCATTCTCAGTTACTAAATTAAAAAATAAATAGTGCCAATATACAATATGAATAAATTTAATAACGGCAGCTTTTATTTCCAAGTAAAACAGTTGAGTTGTATGTTAAACAAACAAAAAATGCTGTTAAAGAGCTAGACCCTTAGCAGTTCGGCCCAGAGGTTGTGGATATTTTGTTCAAGAAAACGCATCATTGGTACGCAATCATCCGCTAATATTCATCCACCGCTAGAGGACGTTATAGCCCCGAATGCGCAATGCACTCACAATACAGACATCTTAAAAACATTTCTTCAACCAAGACTACGCAGGCAGAGATGGATATTTGAAATAATAATATTAATCACTGTATTAACTGCACTCGTTTCATTTGAGAGTGACGCGATCTTCGGGCAAATTTAAATAAACGTTACCACTTAACTAACCAGAAATTTCACATATAGGCCCGTGGACTCATGCCAAAAAAAATACAAACTGCATTTCTATATGATATCCACAGAACGGTCTTTTCAACGCCCGTAGTAATATTACATTGTTTATTTTTACAATCATGATCATACATTCTAAAACAGATTTGTGCGATGCCTTCCAACAGTAAAATCCCTGCAAAATTGTAACGGGTTGTGTACCTGCTCTGCAAGAAAATACTATAAAATATTCATTCATAGCCTATATTTTCAAACACAAATTTACATGCATTAATTAAAAACGGTCGTTGAAACATACCTGTATGTAGAAGAATCTAGTACTGTGTACATGTGTATATTATATGCTAGCCCTTGTTTTCATGCAGTATATGATAGGAAAGAAAACGTGGCACATTTACCCTAAAACAACTGAGCAATCGAAACACGGTAATTATGTGAAAGACACGTAGAAATTGCAACTGAAACCACAGAGGTAGGAATACGCTTTGTTTTGCCAATTATTCATCAAAATACAATATAAACCAAAACAAATTAATCCATTGACCGAGTGGAGTGTCTTACCGACAACCGGGTTATTGTTTAAAACAATCGTTCAACTGAGGCATCATGTTAGTCTTTTTATTCCAAAGTGTGAAAATAGGATTTAGAAATTTGGAGTGAACATCTCTCTGGTTATGTTTTGGGAAAAATAACAGTCCATCCAGTGGAAACTCGAGTGAAAACTCGATCTACTCGATTGAATGAATTTCATCTGGTTCCTAGTTTTAGTCTGTGGCAGTGAATTTTCACCTGAATGGAGTGAATTTCTCTCTTTGGAAGTAAGAGAGTAGATTTTTTTTCGGGGGAGACGAGGGTTTGATATCGATAATCGGAGATTTGTGGGGAAGCTTTAGGTTCGGTACTTTCAGGAAACATTACAAAATGTTCAGTAAATAAATTTTTAAGTTAATAATTTTTCCAATTACTCTCGAAATTCCAAAGAGTGAAATTAGGGACTAGACGTTTTAGAGTGAAAATCACTCTCATTTTCGATTGAAAAAGTCGGAAAAAATAACCACCTCAGACAAAGCTCGAGTGAAAACTCGATCTTTACGATTGAAGAAATTTCACTCTCAAACGTCTAGTCCCTAGTTTCCGACTGAGGGAGTGAATCTTCACTCGAATGGAGTGAATTTTTACTCTTCGGAATTTAGAGAGTATAAACACTCATTAGTTAAACCGCCAAGGGAGACTGACTACAAGTATGTTCACGATGGATCGATTTTCGTTTGGATCTTGAATACTGGATATGATTCCACATACACAAATACTCCATACGGACTTGTAACCAATGTTGGCAAAAAGAAAACTGACAGAATTGGGAAAGAAGTCTTTCTCCTCCAGAATACTAGACGAATTAAGCTGTACCACCTGAATATGGCTGTCAATAGATAATTTTGTTTCAGATGTATTTACAAACTAGTAAATACTGAGTAATAATTCAATTGATTTTCAACCAAACACAACTGACTGATTTACCTGAAGCAGGAATGAACATATGTACATCTTATTCTGATCGAACTACTGTGCTATCTCATTGGAATACACTCAATTTAATATCGGCAAGTTACTGCTTTTGCAAAATTCTGGCTTTCAATCAAAAATATACAAAATACTAATTAAAAATAATGTTCGAATTTGTTTTATGCAGCTTATAAAATCATTTCTCTATCAATGTACAAATTTTATACAAATACCGGATGTTAAACTTGAAATATTCTCTATTAAAATTGTGGATACAAGAAATTTGTTTCATTGTGTTTTTGCTTAATTCTCTTTGGCTGTTTAAAACATGTTTATTACGTGCAAGCAAACCTGTTACATATGTACATTTACCCATCCCATGAAAAAAATCACCCACACAAGGATTTCAGGCCCAAACCTGCATGCAGAAAAAAAGAAGAAATCTTCATTAAAACAGAACCAACAAGTATAAAGGCACATTGGTTTCAATAAATATTTTCATATTAGAGAGCCCAATATACTACGGAGTGAGTCAAAAAGAAAGTGACCTCTATTAATGATTTTTTTCTTAAAAAGGAATCCAATTTGATATGTCAATGAAGTACATGTGTATATCTTAAAGAGGTTGTGGAATGCTCGAAGACATTTCCGTCATTTTTCGGGTATATGTAGCCTAAGGTGTGATGAAATAAAAACGACTATTGTTTCTGGCATAAAATGAGTACAAAAGGTACTTTTGAGAGCTGTTTTTCAAGTCCTGTCATGCCTGTTTCGACCCGAACGTGCAATTTGTGTAACAGTCGTCGTTGCGGGCAGCAAACAAAACACAGTAAATCGTGACGTAATAAACAGGACTCCCGATGCAGAGTAGCATTTAACGAGTCCTGTTTATTACGTCACGATTTACTGTGTTTTGTTTGCTGCCCGCAACGACGACTTTTACACAAATTGCATGTTCGGGTCGAAACAGGACCTGAAAAATAGCTCTCAAAAGTACCCTTTGTGCTCATTTCATGACAGAAACAATAGTCGTTTTTATTTCATCACACCTTAGGCTACATATACCCAAAAAATGACGGAAATGTCTTCGAGCATTCCACAACCTCTTTAAAAGAATTACTGAAAATGATCCATACTATCGGAAGTTATGCATGTTTTGCCTGTTCCAGACCAGGGTTGAGATTTTCGAACCCAGGTTGAAACGCTCGCCAGGTTTCAAAACAGTAGTAACCGAGAGAAATAAGCTCGGTTTGCATGAAACAAGTGTGAAACGATGCGGGGTTGAACGCGGGGTTGAAAAATCAAAAACTCAACCCGAGGCGGCACTGGGTTCGCCCAGGGTTGAGTTCAACCCGGGTTGAGAGGCTCTAGTGTGAAAAGGGCTTAAGTCTATACGAGCGCAAACCAGTACGCACTGGTTTCATTTTTTTTTCAGCACAAAAATGTGCTACATTCTTAGATATTTTGCTGTCAGCACAAACAAAGTGCTACATTTTTGGATATTTTGCTGTCATTGATTTTCTTTTCTTTGATTTGTTGTTGAATGATTGTCGTAAGCCAATGAGCAACCCTTTCTCACAAATGATTTCAATGAGCAAAATTTGGGTTCAGAATTTGAACAGAAACCCCCTAAATTGAAAAGTGTCTTTCTGAAATGACGTTATAGCAACACCGCTCTGGCATAGGCCGGAAAAGCATGACAAATTTTAATTGTTTAAAGAAGTACACTTTCCAATAAAAGTAACAAAAATCGGATGTCAAATAGTTTGCATACATGGAAGAGTAGAAAGTTAGCAAAATGCATTCCTTAGAACAAATCATCGCATGGACCCCTCAATATAGAACTGACAAAGATATGCAAGATATGTAATTTGAAAAAGGACTCAGACCGGTTTGCGAATCTGAGTCTTTTGTAAATTCCTTGACTTTTTCAGCATACAGTTTTGCCCAATTACAAAGATTTCAACCCAGAATCAAATTTTGAAATACTCGACCACTTTGTCTTGATTCTCGGATTCAATTTTCAATTTAAGAGTTTATATTTCAGTATCACTCCACTGCAACACTGCTATTAATCATATGTAAGTAAGTGAATTGCCGACAAGTGAAATGTAAGGGCCATCCACCTGCCTTTGCATTCAGGCTTCATACCGCCCTCTATAGTTCCTGCACAGACTCATTAGGCTCATCTACCAGCTCAGACATCCATGACCTCTGATTGGTCGTCGTAAGAAGTCCCACCGTTACCAACTAACTGTTGCTGCGTTGATTTAAAGGGAATCGAGGATGATGATACTCCTTTCTCGACATCGGCCATGGGCGTGACAAGTGAAAGACTAAAATAAAATAAAACAGTTCCGTCTTAAATAACTTGTAATAATTACCAAATGCCAAGAGATCTGTTAGAAACTGAAAACTGAAAATTGAAGGGAAAAAAACACCCAGGACTAAGAATATGATAAAGATTTACTGCAGGTATCCTTGTGGCAAATATTTTGTGAGGTTCTCAAAAGAACCGGGGAAAACTTTCGGACAGCATGCTCTCCTTGTCATCAGCAGACTTGTCATATATGGGGACTCGTGCACCATGTGACCAGTCAGGAGATTTGTCACATGTAATGATTTACATGCTGCTGTAAATCTTTACCTTATTGATGCCATCATCACAAGGCAAACCTTAAAATCTTATCAATACCCGGGACGGTTTCGACCAATAGGAATGGGTAAACTGTCTTAAGTATCTATGAATTACTGTATAAGCACCATTGAAAAGTGCTTAAAACCGGCCAGTGAACAAACAAATTCAATGTCATACCAAAGAGTGGTATGCTTTATTAGATTTGAACTGTCCAGCCAACTTGGGAAAGCACAGTGGTAAGACGTCTGCACTAGTAAGCAGGAGGTCGTGGGTTCAACTCCCACCAGAGTACGCTTGTGAATTGTTTTTCAAGCCCTCAGACAACACCAGGTATACAATGCAAATGAATATACATCCATGAAGGGCAAAAACCAATAAGAGATTAAACTGGTAAAATAATTGGGTTGTGAGGAAACTTACCGATACAGCCACCATTGCACACCGGAGGCCAGTAAAAGCAGTGCAACACAAAATTTGAAGATAGTTATCATATTTAAATTCTGCAAATCCAAAAGATAAAACATGACAAAATTTAGGAAGATTTAAAGCAAAGGAAGATTTAAAGCAAATAACTTACATGAAAACGTTTGACATCTCTCAATTGAAGAGTCATATAATGTGACCAATAATCTGAAGACTTATTTTCTGACACTGTGGCGCAATGTTGTGAATCAGGTCGGGCTGACCAGGCCAAACCGACCTGAAACGTTATAGATATAAACCAAATCCGAACTGAATCTGATCTGAACTCCCCAAATCCGAAGCCCGGCCCCATTCAGGGGAAAAAAAACTGAATATCTGGCTTGGGCAAATCGTCCTATATTTCAAGAACACTGTGTCTGCTTTTTGTGCCTGAACTTAAACCTGCGTCGTGTGATTTTTGGGGGTTTAAAACGTCGTCTTTCAGTAAAGAGTCATCCCGAACGGTACATCCCGTGAATAGTTCTAACATGACCTACCGGTGGGCCTACATTTATAGACTGTGCGTAATAAACCACGTGCACAATCATTCAGCGCGGTGGATTAACGTTGGTTGTAATAACGGGCACAGTCACTCTGCAATAATATTGCACCGCGCAAAATTCCCAAACTGTTTCATTTTTTTCTCAGTTTGTTTTGGGTTTTTCACAAGATGGCTTTACCCGACCTGAACTGAAAATTGCAAACGCAAAACCAAAACCGACCCGACCCGACTGAAATGATGGAAAAACTGACCCGATCTGACCCAAAGTTGGTTTCGGGTACCGGATTCAGGTCGGTTTCGGGTCAGGTTTGCACAAAATTACTATGGCCCATACAAATGTTTGGTATTTTATCGTTTGAGCTTTATGCCCTTTTAAGATACGATATTAGAGTGCAAACATTTAAATAAAAAAAGTGCATTGCGCAACGTGACAAGGAACTTACCTGTAAAAGGATAAAAATGACAATCAAATTCAAGGGAATCCGAAAGAAATTCATGATGGTTGACCGGGCTGTGAAAGAGTAAACAAAAATTTGAATATTCATTTATTTTGGTTTCTGTCAAAACCAAAGCTATTTTCTCTTTCCAGCACTTATTGAGCACAATGCCAACAAATACGCAAACATTCCACTTTATTACAAACTAAATTTGCTTAACTGCACTTAAGAAAAATTCCCTTGTCTTAAAAAAATAAGGCATGGTCTCAAAACATAATGATTCTTAAAACTTGATCACTTATCAGGGTTCGAAATTAGCGGTAGCCCGCTAGCCAAATGCTAGTCAAAACAGCGGCTGGCTTTAGTCAAACTATTCCTTAACTAGCCTGGCTGGCGAGTGAAAAATTATTGGGATACTACAAAGATGAACGTACAGGAAGAAATAATTCAGAAAGAAAACCCCATCAATTTGTGTCTAATTTTATCAACTGTTTTAAAGGGTTAAATTATTAGATCTGTTAATCAAAAACACTGACAAAATTGCCGCAGAATTGAGCCTGAAAATACGCTATTTTCCTGCGGGCTAGTTAAGAGTCCGTTTCAGTAGCCCGGCAAAAAAGTTAAGGTCGTACCCTGCTTACAATGTATATGTTCCAACTTGAATCTCTAGTCTTTTTTTCTATCAAAGTCCATTCCAATCACAGAAGATCTGGCAATAAAACCTCCAACATTGGCACAACATACTCTCTGAAAATGTACATGCATGCAAAAAAAACCACCTTCTTGAGAATGATGGTTAACTGAACATTTTTGACTCACCTTCTTCTGGTACGTACTTCCCCCTCATGGTGCCCAACGACGGCCAGAAGATTCCTACGCAACCCTCAAACACCAAAAAACCTACAAAGACTGCAGGTTGACTCTGCCAAAAAATATATAAATACACAAACAGATTAGCATATCAGCTCCCATCAAAGGTAAAAGTTGTTATCAATGCTAACCCCTTTTAATAACGGAGTTCTGCAGGCTTGTGAGATATGTGTCAGTTTTTTCTTCCCATTTCTTCCACAGATGGACAATTTATTTTGTACATATCTGATTTCCGTTGTACTTTTTCTACGAAAAGTGAATTTCGATTTTCAGTTATTTACCTTGACCCCCATCCACAATTTCGAAAGAAAAAAAAAATCGAAATTTAAAAACATTGAAGGTCAAATTCTGGGTTAAACCCCACCCCCTTCATATTGATTCATATAACGGGGTAATTTTGGCTGAAAAAGCTGAAATCTTAAGTTTTATTAGCACCATCGGACCAATGGTATGTGCGCTACATGCCTGCCATTTTTTTTGGGTGATTTTGGCCCAAAGCACCATATCTCCATCACCTGTGGGCCACATTTGTTGATCTTGGTTGCTTTGAAATGGTTAACATCATAAGGAATCATAATCATTACTTTCCATATCTGATTAAATTGAAGTATGATGACCATTTGACCTTCAATTTGACCCTGTGGACGTGGTGGATCATGTGACCTTTAGACTAATTTGGATAAAAATTATACCCCAACATGTTTTCTACAAAATATCCAAACACTGGGGGTATAACATTTTTTTTTTGGTTTCTAGCTCATCTCGAAGTTGGCCTACTTGTTGCAAAAGGTAACATTCCTATGCATTTCGGGGACAAAAAAACAATCCCTGCTTTAAATCAACTAGTACATTGCATAGGAATATCGCATTTTGCAACAAATATGCCAACTTTGAGTTGAGATAGAGCTAACATTAAAATAAAAAAAAATCCATTGACTTGTGAGCTAGCTCACCGATGGCATGATGACTGGAGCACACAGTGCTAATGCTGAAATGAAGAGAACGGGCCTCATGAACGATTCCACCGACAAGTAGCGACTGGCGACCTTGAAGACAGACGAGCCAATCATGATGGCCACCTGCAAATTGAAAACAAACAAAACAAACAAAACTTTTCAATAATTTTTTTTTTTCGCAGGGCGCAGCACAGACCAAATAGGCTGACATGCTAACTTCCTTTTTATGTTTGGCCCACACTGAAAACTTTTCAAATTATGTAGTTTGGAAGAGTGACCTCTAGCATATAATTTTTTTCATATTTTGCGGCCTTTTTTTTTTATTTTTCGGGTTTTCGTTTGCTTGTCGTTAAAAATATTTTTCTCTTCTATTGATTTTTCTGATTGGTGCGAAGTTGCATGCACAGCTGCCGTTATCAGACTAGTTCAATGTGGAATTGTGGACAAAGCCACTACCGGTAATATATTAACCCTTACCCCCTATGATTTATTAGGAACCTTTCTCATCCTTGCAAATCCCAACACCATATGGTAAATTGTGCGCATAAACTGTTGGACTCTGTTTGTTTGTGGTACATGTATGCCTAATCCCATGTAAAGCACAGTCAGTTTATTAGTGCAGTACTCATCCTAACAAATTCCAACAAACCCTGGTGTTGGAGTTTGTCTGGTTGGGGATGGTTCGAGTTAATGAAAACTCCAGCAATGATGTTTGCTTAAAACAATTCTACATGTACATGTAGTTCCAACATGTCCAAGGCAATTATATTAATTTGTACATTTTATGTATATTTTGTGCATGAACATGTATAACAGGCACCTGTGGTAGTTATTTCCTGATGCCACGTTACCTAAGTTTTGTTATATGGAAGTCAAAATGGGCTCCACCCTCTTTGCATGCGTGGCATTGTGCAATCGTTGCATGCATGATGGAAGCTGTCATGCACACTGGGTATATCATGTGTGCTGGCAATGACTAATGTAAAGGACTTGGGTCAATGAACATTAAAGGGAAAATACAACATTTGCAAACATCAAAAAATAAAACTACCAAATTATATTGAAATACCTTGCTGGACTGTTAGTGAATGACAGTGTAAAGCATCCTGTGAAATCATGGCACCTGGTATACTGTCATTTTCGAGAAAAGTGGTATTTTTAGTGGTATTTTGGTCGGCCGACCAACGTTGGAAAAAACTGGCTTTTTTCCCCAAATACTGGCCCCAATTGACCATCGGACTTGTTTGCAATCGATTACACACCTACAAGCCAGCTAGACTGGTTCCCTGACCTTACAATTCCCCAATGTATGTACAAAACTCCTCTGTTTCTTCTTATATGGAGTCAGGGAACCAGACTACAGGAAAATGATTTGTTTTTCTTGGTTTTTATAGCATTTTCGAACCCAAAACCTCAAAAAAGTCAGTGTAACTATATTTGCTATATATTTCCAACCCCCCAATTCCATCCATTTCTGAAATTGAAAATTACAGCAAAAGCAAATGATGTATATTCCCTTTAAAAGGATATAATCACACTGGCTGGTTGTGGGAAGGTGTGCCACCATTGTACCATTATCAATGTATGTCGCCAGACTGCAAGTTGGGTTAAGTATACATTACTTTACGGGTCAATTGAACTTTCTAAGCTCTGTGGTTGAATACATGTATGTGTACCACTCCTACACCAGTTTTGGTATACATGTATGGGTGAATAGAATCATCACCAGTTTTTGAAGCAAACAAATGTGAACAGGGATAATCGTTCTTGTTTAGAAAATCAACATTTTCTTTTGCGTTTGTTGCAATAGAAAAAGAAGAAGTGTAACTTTGGAAACATGCAATGCATATATACCGGTATCAATTTTTTTACATGTAATTTGCATGTTTTTCACCAATGTTACATGAACATATAGGAATATACAGAATACTCAATTTTGTAAAAAAAACAAAAAAAACAAAAAAACAACCAATTTTTCTCAGCATAAACATGATGAAAATGTGATTTTTTCAGGAAGTACATTTGTGTTTCATACGTGTAAATATTATACATTGTAGGTTGAAGTTTAAATTTTCATTTTTTTATTTTTTTATTTAAAACAAAATGGGTACAGTACACTGGGTACGACACAACCAAAGTGATAAAAATCATCAATCATCTGCCAAAAATCATCAAGTGTAGTTTGGGGTGGGGGGGGGGGTCCCTTAGGAAACAGTTCAGAATCTGATAATGTTAGCATTTGATAGTTTGTAAAACATTAGTGGAACGTTGTGGTCCAATGGTTTTGGTGCTCGACTCACGTGCCGTGGTACATGTACGTGGATTCGAACCCTGACGGGGAACATGCTTGTTGTTCTTGGGCAAGACACTTTACTACAATTGCCTCTCTCTACCCAGGAGTATAAATGGGTACCTGTGAAGGTAGAGACCGGAATGCATTGATCTGAAGCTGCTTCAAAAACTGGTCTCATGGCCTGATGAACAGGGATAATAATTGTGAAGCGCTAGCTTTAACATGTTTGAGACCTTTGGTATAAACGCTATATAAGCACCACAATATTATTATTATAATTATATGACAGTTTACACAAACCCTACAACCAACACCTGATTGGACAAGTGCGTACAGTGTGCAAACAATCACTCTACAAGCTCATAAAGGCCCAGCACAAACAAATTGGTACGGTGTTGAAATTGGATAATTGTAACTCACCATAAATCCGGCAAATATGAAGCCATGTGGGATGACCTCTTTGGGCTTATTGGGGTCAGTTTGGACCTGAGACTGACCCAACGCTGGCGTCCACTCCAGGACAAATGTATACATGGCTCCCTCGAATAGTGACTGGATCAGGCCGAGACATAAGACTTTACGATCTGAGGAGGCAAACCATTAGAAGGTTTTCAAGGTCACAAAATGTTGTTCAGTAATGGTAATTGGTTGGTTTAATTGAGAAGGGGAAAAATAAACAAGAAAACGAAAAACCTAGTTAAGCTGTTCCCACCCTAGTCGAATATTCTCAATACTCGATTATTGAAAATTCTGCTTAATGTTTCACAGTAACATTTACAATCAAGTGGGCTACTTCATAATTTTATGACAGTTTCAATTTTGACATGTTTGAGACTTTGCAAATGATCTATACATTTATCTCTAAGTTGAAGTCTTTTCAGGACATCTAGAATGCCAGTATGAAATGGTATAACATGGGGGGAAACCAGGTTGCAAGTTAACAGTCTGGTTCCTAACCTGTCTTTATGTGTGAGAGCGCTGTCTTGAAGGCGGTTCCTAGACTGGCTTTAGCGTCGCCGTAGTTCTCGGACCACACCGTCGTGATCAGAATGACCATTATGATGAGAACGACCATAGAAGCATCGAAGGGGGAACTGACATAAGAAATAAACACAAATGCATTGCAACGCAATAAATGCAATACAAAACATGGCAGATTCAGAAACCAAATAGCCCTGATTATGGGCTCCGTGCGCCGAGATAGAGGGCGCCCTTTTACCTAGCATTACGACATCCCATGGGCGGGACATTTCGCTGGTTGACGCGCACCGTTCTGTGTGTGTGACGCACGTACACCAGGGAATTTGTACTATGTACAAGCAGTGGCCGTGCTTCGCAGCAAAGGCAAGATGGCGTCGTTCGGTCACCCCCAACTGTACTCTCTTTGCCGGTGAGGGGGTACTTGTGAACGGAGCGGATACCTCTAGCAGTGTTATTCTTGAGCAACTGTAATATCTCTACAATTCCACAGGTTAATTAAATACATGTTGTACATATCTACGTGTAACAACAAACTTGAGTTCAGTGTCTCTACATGTACATGTATATGCCGAAGCATAATAAAACTTTTTCATATAAAAATACTGCAAGAAATTAACTTGCGCAATCCCCCTGGCATGCTGGCAGTATTTAAACACTCAGTTAGGAAGCACATGCACTTTTCAGCTGACCTAACCAAAATCAACTTTGACCTGATGTGACCCCTAGATGACCTTTGCCTTAAAATATCTCAAGTCAGCCAACGTCCCCCAACCAAAAGATTATTGTCACCAAGTTTGGCCGAGAGTGAAGTCTGAGTTTTTATATGACAGCTATCAGTAACCCTTTACCAAAATGGAACACACACACACACGCTCACAGACAAACGTGTGTTCACCGTCGATCGTGGACGTCCTATTGTCCCTCTTTTGTTTGTACTCAACTTTTGAGGAAGATTCCTGTAGGTTAAGTACACGACCCCAATCGCGGACGTATGCTGGGAATTGTGGACGATATTGTTCTCTTTTGCTCTTTTGGTATTTTTCGTCCATGGTTTGAAAAGATGAACAAGTACACACGGACAGTACACTGTCGCAGCCCCCCTTTCTTGGCATAAGCCAGAGGGATCAAACTTGAACTCAGCGTTTTTGTTGTCTCACAAAAGTGTCACGAAAACTTGGCACTTACACAAAGCCGTAATGATCAACGAAAAACTGGGACGCAACGCCCGCTGTTATAGCAACGATGGAGTTACCGAGGGTGGCATGGGAGAATATGGTGCCTAACAGATCCTTGTCAAATGTTCTCTGCAGATGAGCAAAAAAAAAAATCACAGAAGTGATATTAAGTATTTGTGCAAAGCCGCAATCTTGGGTTAGCTGGTTAGGACATGGGCGTATCATGCCACGGAATAGGGTTAAGTACCAAATTTGCACAATTGATAATTTCATTTGGAGAGCCATGCAATTTGTGGATGTACATGCAGAGATACCAAGAGCACACAAAAGCTGGGCGTGTGACCGTGCAAGCGGCAAATGTCGAAGTTAAAAAACTCTGGTGTACGGAAATTGGGCACAAAATCGGCTGAGTGTTCCCCACCATGCTGCACTTGAACACTTCTCGGAAAATCTGTATCATTTAAAAGGCGTTTTGACAAATTATGTTAAATCATCAGCACACACCTACAAGTTTTATTTTGTCAGCAAAATTATTTTCTTATTTTAGGGCATATTTGGAAAGAGTTCATTGTGCACTTCAAATTTGGTTTTGAAAAATCAGAATATCATGCCAAAATAAAATTTATGTTAACTTTATTACGAGTATAAAAACTCAAGATTTATGAAAAGGCATTAGAGCTTGATGAAATTTCACTTTTCTGTGACCGTTAATGTTCAATATTAGTAAACAATCATAAACACTCAGTTTTTACGCCCTTGAGATGAATGTGTACCTCAAACGTTTAGCAGCTGCTGTCTGACTTACCGCATGGTGCTCATAGACTAGCCAGGATTCAAAAGCGCTGTACAGAATGGATGTGGCCGTCCCTCCCAGCAATCGACCAATCATAAGGATGTAGAAATTGTTGAAGTGTTTGGTGACGCAAGCCAAGGCATACAGGATGCCATAGAGGATGCAGTTTGCCCTGCGACCACTGAAAAGACACGCAGAGAAATGTAGTGTCTTAGTGAAGATTTGGACACAATTCGTTCACATCAATTTAGGAAAATTAGGATCGATTCGTTAAGATCTATTTAGTCCCGGTGTCAGATTTTGGTGGGTTTCAAAGTAACAGTTAGGTACTTTTTGTTATAAAATATATGAAGCTTGCTTAAAAAATAATCAATTTTTGGCTTTGAACATTATTTCTCTGATTCATTCCTTTTATTTTCATGTATTAATCTGATTTCTAACACACATTTTCATTAGATAATTGTTCTGTGCATGTTTTCTAACACACGTTTTCATTGGATAATTGTTCTGTGCATGTTTTCTACCACAAGTTTTCATTGGATAATTGTTCTGTGCATGTTTTCTAACACAAGTTTTCATTAGATAATTGTTCTGTGCATGTTTTCTAACACAAGTTTTCATTGGATAATTGTTCTGTGCATGTTTTCTAACACAAGTTTTCATTGGATAATTGTTCTGTGCATGTTTTCTAACACAGGTTTTCATTAGATAATTGTTCTGTGCATGTTTTTGGCCTATATTTTCTTCTATCATGTTTTGTTCTAGAGCAGCTATACCATATTTCTCTTATGAGTTTGAAATTGTTATTAATTTCTTGCTTTGTAGAGTCATGTGTTTGTTTACTTGGGGCTACAACACTAGTGGTGGGAGAAACCGGATATTTCAAAATACAGTTATCCAATTGTTTTCAAACCAAATAACAGTTATCCTATTTCACAGAAAGCTCCTATTTGCACACAAATTAACATGTAGTTGACAATCATGCAATGCCAACAAAACGTGAGGAGTGAGTTGCAGCATGCAATAGCATCTGTGATGATAACACATGTACCGTACGTATATTTTGCAGGATTCCACTGGGCCTTCACAAAAACACTCCAGAAATGTAATGTTGAAAACAAAAAATAGGTGGGAAGTCTCTGATCAGTCGAATGGGCAGGCTAAATGCGGGACGTTTCAGTTGTTTTCTTAACATTCATAGTGCCTAGTTTTTTGTAAGTCTGGTTCCGAATATAGAATACAAACTGAATCTAAAATAAAAAACCTTGATTTTATTCCCATCACTAAACAACACACACACATACATATTTTTGTTATTATAATGAATGATTCTGCAATGACAGTTATACATAATTTATCCATTGATTGGATGCACTCTCAGCTTTCAATTTCCAAGATTCATTTGTACATCACCACCTTAATTTAGCTCAATTTGCAATGCAAGCAGCTGCAGTGCCTACAGACAGCAAAACCCCCCGTTCAGACAAAAAATAATCAATTAAACAGCGAATCGGGCAATACAGAAAACAGAACAGCTGACGCATCTGTTGACTGATGAATCGAAACTGCACAAGTGTATGTATACAGTCGACTTTCACTAGTACAAACTCTGTTAATACAAAATCCTGGTTATAACAAACATAACGCCTTGGTCCTGGCTGTGCATTTATGTGCACAATGAATGGGACTGATGTTCCTCTTAATACAAAATTCTGATATAACAAACAATCTGGCAAGGTCAGAACGACTTTGTATTAACGAGACTCGACTGTATGTACCGAGTAGCATTTAACCAAATTTCTGCATGCATACCGGTACATACAAGTTTAATGTCTCCTTTAAAGGGAAGATACAACATTTGCAAACATCTCAAAACGAAATGATCAAATTATCACCAAATACCTTACTGGATTGTTAGGGACTGACAGTCTAAAAGCATCCTGTGAAATCGTGGCTCCTGGTGTGCCAACATTTTCAAGAAAAATTGTATTTTTCCAACGCTGGTCGGCCGACCAGCGTTGGAGAAAACTGGCTTTTTTCAAAAACTGCTTGCAAACTCTTTGCTGCAAAAACTGCAAAAACTATTTGCAATTGATTACACACCTGTGAAGGGGTACAAGCCTGCTAGACTGATTCTCTGAACTTACAATTCCCCCAAAGTCTATAAATTCTCCGTTTCATCTTAAGTGGGGTCAGGGAACTGAATTTCAGTTCCCTGACCCCACTTAAGATGTAACGGAGAACAAGAAAATGAATGATTTTCTTGGTTTTTCCAGCATCTACAAGCCCAAAACGTGAAACAAGTCATTTTAACAATATTTGCTGTAACATACTAATCCTCCAAATCCATTTGTTTCTGAAAATTGAAGCAAAAGCAAATGTTGTACATTCCCTTTAAATTACAGGCAGAGCTTATTATTTGGACATTTATTATTTTATTTTTTCAGAACCATATTCAACCACAAAAGAAATTTGCACTAAATGCACTCCAGACGTCATCATGATGCATTCAAACTTCAAATATTGGTATTATTTCAAAGTGGATAAGAAAATCCCAATAGTTGCCGGTTAAAATCGACAATTTTATTATCAGAAACCATGACAGAAAACAGCTTAATCCTACAGTATCCAGCAGCCAGATCTACAGGTCTTTCATACATGTATTCTCAAAAAATTGACAGTTTACTTACTATTTATCAGCAAATGAGCCCACCACCGTGCCGAAAATCATACTGGATCCGAAGCCAGCTACGAAGAGTTGCTCTATCTGGTGTGGTGTCATCCCATAATGCTCGTACAAGGCATAAACGTAGGGACCCTGTAACCAATCAGCAGCTGTAATCACAGGAAAAAACACTTGGTGTTACCAAAAAAAGTGGTATTTACTTTCCAATTCGGCACTTACCGGTAACTGAACCTTGTCACATGAAAATCGTTGTCTCTCTAAATGAATCATTATACCATGCGGCACTCACAACGTGACCGACTGGTGGGCCCACATGTTATCATGGTTATAGACCATACGTGATAGACTGCAAACCACATTTGGTCATATCGGGCACACTAACTCGGCAATAAATATTGCACCCGTGTCAATTTCTGAAAAACTGAAGAAAAAAAACTGTTGCGAAAATCGCAAACGCAAAACCAAAACCGACACGACTGATATGATGGACAAACCGACCCAACCCAAAGTCGGTTTCGGGTAGGGTTTGCACAACACTATTTGGCACTCAACAAGAAGCCATTCCTGACGTGGCACCACACTTTCATCAGTGTCTTATGCACGCACTTAAAGGGTCCGTGCGATGAATATTTCTAAGGAACACATTTTTTTCTCCTCTTAAACGTATCAAAACTACATGTATTCGACATCCCATTTCGGTAAATTTTATTGACAAGTGCATTTCTTGAACCCTATAAAATGTTCCATTCTTTTTTGGACAACTGAGGGCGCTGTTTCTGTGATTTCATTTCAGGAAGACACTGTTCAGTTTAGGGGGTTTTCTGTTCAAATTGTTAACCCAAAATGTGCTCGTTGAACATGTTGTAATCAGTGGTGAGAAAGGGTTTCTCACTGGCTTACTGCCGTACGTATACGTGTACCGTACACTCAACAACGAATCGCCAAATAAAAGAAACTTTATGACAGCAAAATGTCCAAAATGTTTGTGCTGAAAAGCTGCATTAAATTGAGGTTTTTGCCCGGAATGACATCACAGTTTTGCTCACGAATGCATTAATTAGCATAAAACCAAAATACCCTTCAAAATGGCAAAAACAAACTTAAAGGGAATATACAACATTTGCAAACATCGAAAAATAAAACTACCAAGTTTTTATGAAATACCTTACTAGGATGTTGGTAAATAACAGTCTAAAGCATCCTGTAAACTTATGGCACCTGGTGTGAAGTCATTTTCAAGAAAGTGGTATTTTTGTAAAAATTTCCAGCTGTGGTCGGCCGACCACCGTTGGAAAAACCTAACTATTTTTCAACTACTGCTCCAAATTCACTATTAATTCAGTCAAAATTGTGTTCGCTATTGGTTACATGTTCATGAGCGGGTGCAGGCCAGCTAGACTGGTACCCTTACCTTACAATTTTCCGGCATCTCTAAATTGATTCATTTTATATTTAGTGGAGTCAGGGAACCAGACTACTTGAACAGTTTTGTTTTTCTTGGTTTTTCCAGCATTTACGAACACAAAACTTCAAACATGTCAGTGTAACAATATTTGATATATTATATTATACAACACCTGAATAAATCCCTGTCATCTGATTGGTGAATTGTAGATCACGTGACATATTATTATTCGGTATAATGCACGGTGCGACCATGCGTTATACCCATGCGTTATACCGTTTCACTTTGCGCTTGTTCCATGACGCGGTATTTGCGTGCAAAATGCATGCTGGTGTGTGCGTTCAGCGTAGCGCGTATTGTTCCAAAGAGCCAGCGCTACAGCGTTGGGTTCAAACATTTTCGTGAAGGGGTAGTTCAACATCTTTAAAATCGAAATAAATTGTAGTTTATAATTTACCAATCAAATGACGAGAATTTATTCAGGTGTTGTATAAAACAAATAACGAATGTTTTACGTTCGTGCGATGGAAAGAATAATTTCATTCGGTGACAGATTGAATGTTCTATTCCACTCGGCTTCGCCTCGTGGAATAGAACATTCAATCTGTCACCTCATGAAATTATTCTTACCATCGCACTCACAAACATTCGTTATTTGTATACTAACCCCTCAATAATAGTTCATTTTTGAAAATTACAGCAAAAGCCAATGATATTCCTTTTAAAGTTGCATTTTCAAAAATTGCATGAAAAACAATTACATTAACTCCTTTTGACCAACAGAGTAGCCAACATACATTTTTTTTTTATGCTCATCTTGACTTAACAATGGGTGCACACGATTGTCATTTTTAGATGTAGTCTGTAGACGAATCATTGCGTGTGATAACGGTGCACACACCAACAAATGTTAAAATTGTAAAGTGTAACAATCTATACCGGTAAGCCTACATGTACCTACCCATGGCCAAGAGGTAGACCACCAGATACGTGTGCTGAAACTTCTTGAAAATGACATCATCCGATGACGGTACTGCAGAGCGTGTGTACAAGTACAGCAGACCACAGAATACGCACAAGGCGTAGAAAGACTGTATGAAAATCATGAGGCAGCTTTAGATCCGACGACTCTGTGGAATGCACACAAATTCAAAAAGGAAATACAATTTTTAGCGAGTCCCCAAATGAACGTCACAATACAGACAAACACATACATTGGTACCAGTACTTTGTGCCCAATGCCACAGGTGTTTTGGAGACAATCCTTGGACATTTCACAGGTATTTGATTTTCAAAAGCTTATATTTTCCTTTACAGAAGCAACCTCCGGGGCAAAATCACGGTGCCTAAAGCAGTCATTGTTCGCATGTTTTTGTTGTGAGTTGTGTTTACACGTGGCAAGGCCACCCAGGCCGTGAATACACCTTACAACAATGTACTTTTGACAAAGAGAACTTCAATTCACCCGTTTTGCATGCAATGGCAAGTTCAAATTGTGTGAGTGATCAGGAAAACCGTGATAAATGACAACCCCAACCCCTGACCCCAACATTCCTGAATCCTTCAATTTTAATACGATTTTGCACACCCCCTAGGGAGTTAAGGCTCAAGTGAACTACATGTAGTACTTGTAACAAATTGGTCCCAACTGTACATGTACATGCTTTTCAAGTTTTCAAAAAAAATTGCAGCTGTCTAATTTTTCCATTTGGTGAATTAATTTTCGTCCCAATGTGGCCATTTAGGCCCCCCCCCCAAAAAAAAAATAGTTCTGCTTCCGGTTTCCCCAACTACCCTATTCTGACAGCCCCTACCCTAATTTTTTTATTAAAAAAATGAGAAAGTAACACCCAAAACCATCAATTTCTACCTTTTACCCTTGACTACATGTACATGCAGACGCCTCCATATGATCGTACACACACACAAAAATGTGCCCCCCCCCCCCCCCAAAAAAAAATTGTGTTGCTCTGCATATACGGATTAGCTTGGACCCTACTAGTACTATCGCCAGACCATGTCCGAATGTTAAAAAGGCGATAAATTGGGTCCAAGTTACTCGGACTATCCCCTTCATCCTTTTTCTACCCATTACAAAATTAGAAGAAGAATGTACGGTATTTCGGCGTGATTTTGAAAATCCCCCCCCCCCCCAATTTTTTTTTTTTAAATGTTGACTGACAAATTTCTAGTCATGCTAGTTGGGTATGTAAGTAGAGATAATAATGTGTTATCAGAATTTATCAACTAATAATGATTAATAAATAAAATTTAATGCGGTACCAGCTGCCATGTACATGTAGGCCTACATTTGTAGTTCTTGTAAGAGCTACAAATGTCTGAATGTAGGGTTAGCATGGTAGGGTTAGCCCTCCATTGGGGCACAATTGCAGAATACCCCGCCACTCAATCTATCCACCTCGTAGCCGGCTACGGAGTCACGGTTGATTGACCTCAATTAACCTTCTCAGCGCTACTTGTACTAATGCGTCATGCTCCACTGCACTCCCACTCCGTATCCGCGTAGCCGCCAACAGGGTAGTTGGTTTGGAGTTTGGACTTAGATTTTTTTCAGCAACTCCCATTCCTTTTGTGTTGCTTTGTTCTCAAGCATATTCAAGGGGACTCCCACTCCGCGTACATGGCGTAGCCGGCAACAGGGTGGTTGGTTTGGACTTGGAATTTTTTCAGCAACTTCCATTCCTTTTGTGTTGCTTCGTTTTCAAATAATGGACCCTCACTCAGTATCCGCGTAGCTGGCAATGGACTTGAATTGTTCCTCTTCCAAGTTCCAGTGATTCCAACCGCGTAGCCATTTTTAGGGGTGTATTTCCGAGTGGCGGGGTATTAAATTCTGCAATTAAAAAAAAACAATGACTGACCTTCGTTGAGATGATAAATGATGGGAAAAGTGGCGCTCCGCGTCAGGATGCAACATTCTAGTCCTTCATCATTTGTCTTTTCTACAAATTGCTTTGTCGCTGTTCGTACTTGAGACAAGTTGAGTTAGGCCTATGATGATAATTGACATTTACAGCTGATCCGGGTGCGTGGTAGTCCAGATTCTGGACTTTTTTTTGTCACAGGCCTAGTACAGTAGGGCGCCCTCTCCAACAACCACTCGCCTGGAGCTGATAGAGTGGTTGTTGGAGAGGGCGCCCTGCTGGGCGCCCTGTAGTGCCCTTTTTGGAATTCCGGTGTGGACGGTAATTCTGTCCCCCGGTAAAAGTGTCCGGGGACAGAATTTCCTTTTTATAGAGATCAGTGGTAGTAATACTCAACCTATCGCTAGCGCGCGCACGCGCATCATCAGCCGCCGATACGCGTGTGACTGTCATGGCGGACTTCAATCACTGATCTCTATATAAAGACTGGATAGCGGATATGCATACAACATTCACACAGTAGACTTTGCATATTGACCAATTCGCCCCCGGTCTCACGAAGATGGCCGCGTATTATACGAACGTTCTACGCGTAAATACGCGCGCGTTGTATCAACAGTTGACGCGCATTTTGGTCACGTACACATATTATGATGTTCTAAAAGGAACACATTTCCGTAGTGATTATTGTTTCAAAAACGCCGAAAAAGTGATTTGCGGCATTATAAAAGTAACCACGACGTTAGAAAAATTGTAGTAAACCTTGGTCAGTTGGTCAGTGGTGGTGGCCAAAATATAAGTCAAGTGAGCCGCGACGTTACAAAAGAAATCATGCTGTCTATAAATACGGTAACTTGTCCTTTGTAGATCACCAGCCGGTCTCACCAATATGGCGTCAAATTCGTACACTGTGCGGCTCTTTATTAGCTATCCAGTCTTTATATAGAGATCAGTGACTTCAATGAGGAGAATTGGCAAAATTATACGCGACACGGGTCACCGCGCCGCAGGCCTGCTGCTGGTGCGCTGGTGCACTGCTGTCCCCGTCCCCGGCCGCGGCCCTGGCGCGGCCCGTAGGTGCGGTATACTTGCGCCCTCGCCCACCATGCAAATCGTTCGCTCCCGAAGTCGTCATCCAAACGGGAGTTGTGTTTGACGTAAGCACCATTCCCGAATTTAGCAAGGCGCCGCGCAAAAACAGTTAATAACGTCACTAATATACAGTCTGGGTGCTAGACTTGTGACGTTGCACGGGGACACATTTACCAGGGGGGACACATTTAACGTCGTGCAGGGGGACAGATTTACCTAGAGGGGGACAGGTTTACCTAGGTAAAAGTGTCCCCCCGGACAGATTTACCGGGTCACGACCCGGTAGATCTGTCCGGGGGGACACATTTACCAGGGGGGACAGAATTACCTGCCACACCGGCAATTGTGCCGTCCTAAAATTAGCGTCCGCAGTGTATCGTCAAATAGCAGGGCGGACAAAAATTTATATATACGAGGCCATTTTATGTGTCTTTCAGTTCTAGGATTTGCTCGATTGATAACAGAATTATCTAGTGACAAAATCATGTTTACCTCAGTCTGCTGCATGCAGCACCGACCAAAATAATCTCCGTCAATTCTCAAATCTCGGATGGTTGGACATGCATGAATGTATCAAAGTTGAAGCCCAAATTTATGATTAAAAATCACTGAATTATTATGTACCTGTAATCCAAGCATTGAGTGGCCTTGCGCGTCTGGTTTCCGTCTATATAAAGGCCTGTCGTGGGCAGTAGCCATAATTAATATCAATTAATCGTGCCATTTATATTGGTGGATTTGTTATTAAATTTGTGTTTTATTATAATTCAAAACTCAGGGGGAAAAAGCATAACGGGCATTAAGGGGCTGACAGATGAGGAAGAGTTAATTCATGGTCGGTGACGACAAACGCACTTCACATTTTTTTCGCAAAACCGGTAATAATTGCTTTTTTCGCAGTATTGCAGGAAAAGCAACACTTATTGAGACAAAAATGAGATCATTTTGTTAAAAAGTATTGCAAAATAACGCGATAGTGTTATTTTGCAACAGTGTAATATTATCATACTATTGTTTTATCAATAGGTACTGCTTTTTTTCCGCAATACTGCGAAAAATTAAAAATAACGCGCAAAATAACACGCGATATAGCTCAATAACGCAATAGTATTGTTATATAGCTCAATAACGCAATAGTATTGCAAAATATCACGCGATAGTAACCTATTTGCACCGCTGCTTTGTTATTGATGAAATGTTTAACATTTTAACAGCCCTTGTCTCGCACTAAATCTATAAGTTACAACTAGTCTTATGTGTGCATTCTTTTCTTTTGAAATAGCCTATTGCCCCAACTCGGATGGGCTCTTGTTGGATAGGCTCTTGATTGAATTGGCCCTTAATGGTGAGCGCAAAACCCTGCTAAAATAGGAATTTTCGCTTGCTGTCCGTTCTACTGCACATGGAGCTCAAATAATACTAGTACATTTGTAATTATAGTATAGCAAATCGATCTAGCGCATATAAACCGGCCAAGCTGTCATGTCACGGTACAGTAATCACTAGGTGGTATATTTTCATGATATTTTCATGAAAGCCTATAGGTGTGACTTGCATTTTGTATATTCACAAGGCCCAACTGACAGCTTAAAGGGAATATACAACATTTGCAAACATCGAAAAATAAAACTACCAAGTTTTTGCGAAATACCTTAATAGGATGTTGGTAAATGACAGTCTAAAGCATCCTGTAAAATTATGGCACCTGGTATACTGTCATTTTCAAGAAAAGTGGTATTTTTGTATCAATTTCCAACGCTGATCGGCCGATCAGCGTTGGAAACAACTGGCTTTTTTTCAAATACTGGCCCCAATTGACCATTGCACTTGTTTGCAATCGATTACAAACCTATGAACGGGTACGAGCCAGCTAGACTGGTTCCCTGACCTTACAATTCCCCAATGTATGTAAACTGCTCTGTTTCTTCTTATATGGAGTCAGGGAGCCAGACTACAGGAAAATGATCGTTTTTCTTGGTTTTTATAGCATTTTCGAACCCAAAACTTCCAAAAAGTCAGTGTAACTATATTTGCTTTATATTTCCAACCCCCCAATTCCATCCATTTCTGAAAATTACAGCAAAAGCAAATGATGTATATTCCCTTTAATTGATCACAATTATGCACAGGCGGTTTCATCAGGCAAAAGTCAGTTTAATCAGTGAACAATAAGCGGCCATGCAATGTGGGATACATCCAGGCAAACAAGGGACCGCGTCCCCAGGTAGGTAATTATCAATTGGGTTTTCCTTTCCTGCACCTGTTGAGACCCGCCCGGTCCTTAGATCGAACTAGTATCGTGTGGAGAAGCCCATGACCCGATGTGCCGAGCACCCTACTTAATTAGCCACCATAAACGGAGGTGGACAGGTGGGGTGCTGAATTCCCTTTTCTCGCATACCAAACCCCAGGGTCTTTGTAAGGGAAAATGCTCCCGCCCATTGACTCCAGGGGCTGCCGAGATCGGTTGGATCTCTATTTACAGAATATGCAACACAGACGATTTGCATCAATGATGACTATCTAGGTATAAGTACATAGTATTTTTACCCTGAATTTCATTTACTCACAAACTGCCTTTACTAGCGTCTATTGTTGCGATAACATTCCCGGCATACCAAACCCATTGCCCCTAAGAACTGTATACAAATTAATCTTGAATATAAGCATGACACTCATTATTTACATTTTTAATGATCGTCTCGCTCTTTGGGGACTACGAATCATAATAGTCTTTACCTATGGGTGGCCAAGGGCGGATCCAGAACACAATTTTTTTGGGGGGGGGGCAAAAAAAAAAATTTGGTCCCCCCAAAAAGTGGGTCAAAAAAATTACGGCGTGGGGTTCGGGGCCCGCTTAAGGGCCCCGAAAATTTTAAGGATTCTAGATGCTCTGTGGTGCGATCTGAGGCAATTTCTGACCACTTTAACCAATGTTTTTTTTTGAAGAAAAGATGGTGGTGTACTCATTGCCTGCCTTTATTGCGATGTCACATAAAAAAAATAAAATTGGTTTCTTTTTTGGGGGGGGGGGGGGGGGGGGCATGGCCCCCTTTGGCCCCCTCCCCCCTGGATCCGCCCTTGTGGGTGGCTGTGATGATTGTTCAAGGCTAGCGGAGAATTGAACATTGTTGTGGAAATACTAAAAGCGAATACTAATTAAAACGGATATAAAACCAATTACCAGCTGCCAGACTGTGACAGGTGTCACTGTGCTCTCGTAATTTGCGGATAGAAACACATATATCACAGAGCCATAAAATAAAATAAAATGGTCGATCATCTACGGAAGCCCGTTCGTGCCAGATTTTAAAAGTGAAAACAAATTTTTATTGCGAAATAACTCAAAAGTTTTGCGAAATAACGCAATAGGTTTGCGAAATAACGCAATACTATTGCGAAATAACGCAATAGTATTGCGAAATAACGCAATAAATGTCTGCTACATTTTGTCAACTGTCATACCTGGGACAATTTCATTCAGGTTTCTCAACTGAATCGCTGTCAAAATATCACTATATCTGAAGGAACTAAATCCAAGTTCCTTGCTCTATGGCTGAATATTTGTATCAAAGAACGATTCATTCACAGGTGACTTCGTCACCTAATTCAATTTACCAACGACCTGCATGGATGTTTTTTTCAACAACTGCCAAAGAAACTGGGTTTCTCCTACCGTATTTTCCATTCGACTAAAAGGGAAAACCTGAAAATACTTCTGTGTCCACACTGATAGTAACACCAGCATGGCTGAGCCTCTCCACAAAATCTAATATCTTGAAACTGCACTTCGGCTCGGTTGGGCCGTGATTCAGCACGGCCTATGCATACAAAGCGCGGAGCGAAAATCGAAACGCGTCCGGACATGCTAAACCGGATAAAACTTCTGATATATTCTCTTCCGCCCTCAACGTCGCTAGCGGTGCAAAAGAACTCGCGGTAGTATTGCTAAATACGCTATCTGAGATTTAAAAAAAAACTCTTGCGTTACTTCACAATACTATTGCTATATTTCGCAAAATGATTGTATTATTTCGCAAAATTACTGCATTATTTCGCCAACTTGAAACTATTGCGTTATTTCACAAAACTAGGGGTTTTTTTTTCGCTTTAAAAACCTGGCACGAACCGGCTTCCGTATTTATTAAATAATAAATATCGGGAATTGAAAATATTGCCTTCGTTAATCTGTAAAGAAGTGCTTGACGAAAATGTTGCACTTTTTGCCACTGACCTATATATCCCAGCGTGATTTTCGCGCGGGGCGGCCCGGGCTTGTACGCACAATCTCCGGTCAACGTGTCCGTCCGTTGTACGGGTGAAATGATGTGTGCCGACGTGGATGGTACCCCGAAGCACACTGTTAATTTTTGGCACTTGTGCGGAAAGGAGCCCTGCTGAATGCCTTGGACCTTGTACGCACGGGGCGAAAGCATTTTTTAATGATTTTATTTTGTACCCCTCCCCCCCCCCCCCCCCCCCCCCCCCCCACTAAATAGACCAGAAGGTATCCCTATGACGATTTCAGGGACTTTTCCCAAAGACAAATGGGACAAATTGGGATAAAATGACAATACTGTTTGGACCCTGTACATTTTCAATGGGCCGCTTTCGCTGTTTGCCTTCAGGCCCATTGATGCGAATGCGTGCATTAATTTGAATTTATTAGGGAACTGGTCTAGCTCCTACATATTTGACCGATTTCTGCAGTACCAAAGTTTGCCAAAAGTATCAGTATATAGCCCAGTCCCAACATATGTCACCAACAAAGGTCATCGTGGGGTCACGGGGGTCAAACAGTTCTTTTTTTTCTTTTTCTTTTTAAATCAAAATACTACTCCTTCCAGAAATTCAATGGCACAAGCAAGCGACCCATTCATTGAATTGAGGTCATGCATACGTTGTTTGATAAATCACAAACAAATCCCTGCATTTTGGAGTCAAAGAGGTATGCACCAATCAGGGCACGCTATCAATCACCAAGGCTACATTCAATGACGAAAGCATTGTGCTTAATACTAGTTCAGATATTCCATGTTTGTACAGTAGCGTATACAATGGCTTATCCACCCGAATTGGCCTTGTTATTGTTAACTCTAGTGATAACACGTACGTTCCTGCATTCGTCTACAACAGTATTACAAAACACTGTCGTTATTTCCTCATTCGCAAAGTCGGCACTCAAGTAAACAAGCACGCAATGGCCTCGAACGATCGTGTGCAGATTGAAATGGCTGACACCAGCTTCCAAACTGATGCTGCAGATCGAGGTAACACAATCAGAAGTGAAAACGGTCGGACTAGATTCTCAGACAAGGCGGATGATATCTCGCTGGTCATTGACACTGGACGTGTCAAAGCAGAGACGGGGACCAGACGCGCGAGGCCGCTCCGTGGTCTGGTGTATGGTCTGGAGGACATACCGCCTTGGTATACCACGCTCCTGCTTGGATTACAGGTAACATTCAGTTATTTCTAATCATTTCGGGTTAACTTGCAGCAGCGGCGTATAGCTACGGGGGGGGGGGGGGAGGTGGGGAGGGGGAGAGACGCCCCCCTGCCCCAGTCGCCCTTCCCCCACTGAAAATGTGGCATCCGTACTCTAAAAAACAACTTAGTCAAACAATTGACTTGTTTTGCTAGTTATTGAAAATTGACTAGGAATTTAGTTAAACATTCAAAGTTTCATACTATGACTAGAAAAAGTAGTTGGGTTCGACTCCAATTTCAGTTATTTGCATAACTATTTTTTTTAAGTTTATAATACCTATAACCCTAACCTCAGCCATGACAACGGTGGCAAAGTTGATTATGCTTGCCAGGAGTTTTTTCATTCGATCTTTCAATAGGGTCAAATGTTCATACCTTCCCTGAAGGTTATTTCTTTTCATTTTGAAGTTTCATTGACGTTGCTAGCATTCTGTACCCAAGATTAACAAATAGCAAGGTTCACACAAATCCCCAACCTAATAGGAGTGGGACGGGCATTCATTAAAACTAGTCATGCCTTTCGCCAATTCCAGTGTAGTTTCGTTTTAATAAAAAAGCTTTTCATGTTTTAACCTCAGCAAGTTTTTTCCTCATAAAATCTCAGTAGACCGATAAATCCTTGCCTTGCCCCAAACTTGCCATCTACCGATCATAAACATAAAGATGCATTTGGTCTTTTAGTCTTTTATATTTGCCATTCCCTGTAACAAACAAATAACACTGCAAATATAGCGAGAGCTACATCGTTTGGTGAGTTAGAACTAAAGCGGTCCCTGGCCCTGTATGTGGCCCCACGCCGTAATAAAACAAACCATACACGAAGCAATTTACTAAATGTAAGGAAGCAGCCTTGCAACAATAATATTTACATGCAATGTCATGCATAATGATACAATTCTCTTTTTCAGAATGAAATGGAACCAAAAATGGAGATAAACATACAGTGTTCTCCCATTTTCAGTACAGTTAAACGTTTTAAGAGCAACAGTATATTCTAAACAAAATAATGAAATAAATTGTCTTTATAATCTCAAAAAACTTTTGCTAAAACGTCAAATGAAAGTGGCCAGGAATCGCCTCAGATTTCACCACAGAGCATCTATATTCCAAATTAAGCCAAGCGTATGGGCATTAATTTTTATTCCAGCACCCCCTGGCAAAAGTTTGTTCCAGCGGCAGTGCCCAGCTGACCCTGAATGCCTAGTCAAATTTAACTGGTTTCTAGTCAGATCTGACTAATCGCAAGAATAGTATTATGCTAATTTGAAAACAAGTCACCAAATTCAATGTTGTCCTGCACGTGTAAGTCTATAGCGTAGTGTTTTTTGGGGGTTTTTGGTCTTCAAATCAAGCTCCGGAGTTCAGTCAAGCGGATGGAATAAATTAGCCGTCCGTGGACAAACAGATTTGCCACATAAACTTTTCAAAAAAAGACAAAATATATGCATTTGCAACCATTTTTTCTTCACTTGTTTAAAGGGGTCTACCCGATGTTCCCCAATACCTATATTCCCCAATATCTATGTTCCCCAATACCTATGTCCCCCCAAAAAGGGTTAGAATGAGGGTTAGGGTTAGGGCTAGGGTTAGGGTTAGATGGTTCGGGTTAGGGTTAGGGAACATAGATATGCACCCGTTTAAAGATCAATATTTTAATGCCATTAAATTGAATTTTGAAATATGCTCAACAAGTAGGTGAAAATTGCTGTCACAATTGAGTTTCCTTCTTTTTGCACCACCCTGCACAAGGGCAGATCCCGGGGGGGGGGGGCAACGCCATGGCCCTTCCCCCCAAAAAACGAACCCAATTTTTTTAAATTTATTTTATTTAAATAAAGGTAGGTTCTGCGTACACTTCCATCTTTTCCTCAAAACAAATTTGGTAAAAGTGATCAGAAACTGCCTCAGATCGCACCACAGAGCATCGAGAATTCAACAAATTTGCCCTGAAGCCCACGCCGTAATTTTTTGGACCTTTTTTGGGGAGACCAACTTTTTTTGGCCTCCCCCCCCCCAAAAAAAAGAAAATATGTGTTCTGGATCCGCCCTTGACCCTGTATACCGTGGGTTACCGGTAAACACAATTTTATTGACAGACTCATAGATTGAAAGGTGCAATACCGAAAGGTCAGGTCAGATCAATACGTCAACAAAAGAGGTTCCTGATCCACAATGTACTAGTGTGTTGCCAGGTTTGATGGTATGCTATTCCCGATTATGTTACCCACCTTCTATTGGCTATAAGCCTATCACGTGGTATACATTACGACTATACGATGCAACTATTTGTACCTGCCATTTGCATAACATCCAAGTAATGAGCCTCCTGTGAAACATTAATGTCTGATTTTGGTTTTATTTATTGATGCACGAGATTTTTGGATGCTATACTTGAAGAAGTGTTGAACACTATGAACCAGTTCCGTGTCACTGCCTAATACTAGAGTTTGTCCTGTCCTTCACTTGTCCATGGCTTCACTGGACAAATGTCATTACAAAGATCCCAGTGTAATAGATTTCCATTCTCAGATGCGGATAGCAATTTAGACGCCATTCTTGGTGGTGCAATGGTCGGCGTATATGCGAAAGCCATGGCCTACGCGAAAGCCATATGGTCTAATATGCGTGAGAATATTCGCTGATTTATTAGGCAAGACAACGCCTTTTGACCTCCTAGATTATGACCAATCAGTGGGCGCTTTCTATATCGGGTCTTCGGTCATTCACCTGTTGTGCGTCCTAGTAGACAATGGATAAAAAATAAGTTGTCACGCGTTCTGTATCATGTTACGCGATACCGGCTGTTGTTGTATTACCCCCCAGCTCTGTCAAAAAAGTTTGTTTCAAGTGCCTTAAAAATAATGCGAACACCCCCTCCCCCCGCTCTCTCCCCCGCCCCCCAAAAAATTACACTTGGAATAATGTATTCCTGTGCACAAAATCCGTACAGAGCGACCATGGTTTTGTACACTATTCTGTAATAGTGTAAAAAATAAATCGTCTGATTTGAACAGCGCCCCCAATGAAAGTATGGTATGAGGCCCCCCCCCCCTTTGATTTTCGGAGGGCAAGTGTCCGGAGAAAAAACACCTGTCTACATTTCAGAATTGCTGATGACCCCCCCCCCCTGCGAAAATCCCTGTATCCGCCCCTGCACACTGCCCATAGCCGCATGCACTCAGATCGACCAATAGCATTTCATAATTTGCGTTTGATCAACATTTGAAAATAAGTACCACATGATGTCATTGCTTGCGTTTTAGTACCCACTTTGTTCGTCCAAGTAGGTCACCCCAAGATTCACCTTGCCCCTATCTCACTGACTGATTGACTGATGACTACATAATGACTCCCAAACACACTGTCGCTCATAAAGTAGACAAATAAGTCCCCCAGTCCAAAATTCGATTCAGGCGACTAGGGAGACCCCATAAAATTGCCGCCCTAAAACATTTGCCTTAAAAAAAGGATCGGTGGATTTTTATGATTTTGGCATTAGAGTAAAGCTGCGAGCTTTTTCTTTCGAATACTGAAAGAAATCATGAAAATAACACCTTTGGTTGCTGAGAAAATGCCAATTGTACTCTTGTCCTATTATCTGCAATGTTGTAAGGATTAAGACATGCACAAATAGGTACAGTGAAAATCCCTTACTGAGGTTTTTTTGTACAGCATGAAACATGACTACTTTTACATAATTGGCATTTTCTCTGCAACCTAAGGTGCTATTTTCAAGATTTTTTTCAGTATTCGAAAGAAAAAGCTCGCAGCTTTAATCTGATGCCACAAACATAAAATCCACCGATCCCTTTTTTTCTAAAGGCAAATGTTTTAGGGTTTCATTTTTAAGGTCTCCCTGTATACCAAGACCCCTCAGACCAAATAGGTCTAGGGCGAGCTTCATATGCTTTCCTGGTCTTGTTAAACATGAATGGCATTCTCGAATTTCAGCATTTCATGACGGACATCGGCAGCAATGTTTCACTGGCGTTTATTCTGGCTCCGTACCTCTGCGTATCTCACGACCCCTTGACCGTGGCAAAGATCATTGGTACCCTGTTCTTCGTCAACGGTTTGGTAACACTTCTTCAGACTACCTTTGGTGTAAGGTAAGTGAAAGACGAATGTAGATTAATGAATGCAACATTAATGGTCCCTAGGCTGATGTGTCTACTTCATGTACGGCAATAAACGCTTCTGACTCATTCTTAATTTGTGACCGTGATCCGGTGCACAGCCAATTTCACTTTTTATCAGCGAAATTCGTATGTGGAAAGAGTACGCCCTCAGCTTTGACCCTAAAAGGGCCGGTGGCCGGAATCCGCCCCCTCGACTTTTTCGGCGATAGCCTTTAAAAAAAAAACATTTTCGCGACCCGAGCTGTTATGACTTTTTAGCCTCGAGCCTTGCGCATCTTTTGATACCAAAAATATAAAATTCGGACCACGGGTTGCCGCGCAGCGAAATATAAAACTGAATTTTCCCATATACGTCGTGTACACAGAGCAGATTTATCATTCTTACATTTAAATAATTAATTAGCCATAATTCCAAAACCCTTTGACCTATAGTCATGACATTTCTTGGGTATGTTCATGATGAGTTGCTCTATGCATGCATGTACCGAGTTTCAATTTTTTTTGGTCACTTAATGGCCGAGAAGGCCGGAATCCCCCCCCCCCCCCCCCCGGCTGAGAGATGGTCAAAATAACCCGGCCCTTTTAGGGTTAAAACGGTATACCAAACTCAATGCATTCCATATTTTCTACATTATACGCAAAGTTCAGATTTTTTTCCCCAACTATATACTTACACTCCATCATAACTTACATGTACATATCAACTGGCTTTAAATTTGATTCTCAATCAAATTTCCCCTAGTATGATTATTCAATCCAAAAACAAATGTGTTTTTTTTGTTGGGGGGGGGGTTGTTGTTGTTGTTGTTGTTGTCTGCAAAAGGGTTGGCAAAAGCAGACTGGTTACCGATCCGTCCATTGTCCATACTGATTGTGTGGCGGGATAGCTTTGAGAACGGAATTATTGGCGGATCGCAAGTTATTCGAAATTTGTTTAAAAAAAATTAATAATAATTCAATAACTAAACGTGGGCCGATTTTTGTTTCCGGTCGATGTCTCATTCGAAAGTGAATATCTGATTTTATTGCTATAAACAAGTTTACAATTTCAAAATCTATTTTTCGGGAGGAAACTCGAAAATAGCACAGGAAATGCAACTTCACTACTGATAACTCTAAAACAGACTATACTGATACCAACATGGTACGCAGGTGAACATGTTACCAACCCCGAGTTCCTTTAGGCCTACTCCATTTTTCCAACAAAACGTTGCTTTTCTATTTTACCATAGGCTTCCTATCATCCAGGGAACATCGTTCGCCTTTTTGGTGCCGACATTTTCGATTCTGAACATACGAGGCGATTGTCCCCCTCCACCCACAGGTCAGGACCGTCGCTTATACATTCGTGTTTATTCCTATTGTTCAAAAAATTATACGCATTTTGCTTATGTGAGCTTCTGCGAAGAATAGCGCCACCTAGCGATAGCTGTCCCCTCTGCACTTCTCCCGCCGCTCCGCTTTTAGAAGCGTGTTGTAGCATCCACAAAACTGATGCTGCGATATTCATTTAACATTAACAAACTGATCTGCCATGGAATGCTATTACCTACAGAAAATTCTACAATGGAGGAAATAGATGCGGCAGAAGATGAATGGTTATCAAGAATAACAGAGGTAGGGATATACAAAGAAATATGTCGCCGAAAATGATGACAAAAATATCAAAAACATCAGTCTCATTTTTTATTATTATTATTATTATTATTAATGGTTTATTTAAAGACTTTCGCAGCCATAGGCTGAATTACAGTCAGTTCACAATAAACATCAGGGGAAAATACATTAGCATAAAACTCATAAAAATTGTCAAACAAAAAAATATAGTATCATAGTAAAAAAAAAACCCGTATACATGTGCATTGTTACAGATCAAAAAAAAAAAGGAACAATACAATTACCACAAGAGTTTAGGAGAATCTACAAGGCCTCAACCCTGAGCTGTGTTTAAAAAAACTCGTGTAAGATGTTAGTTTTCAGGGGGGGGGGGGGGGGGGAATTGTGTGTTGTATGAGCAATGAAGTATTGGGCTTCAGCATTTGCATTTAAGTTCATTTTTTTGGAAAAGCCTGAATGATTAAGTGATAAATAATTAGCAAAGATCAAGGAAGTTAATCAGTGGATCTTTATGGTAGATTATTGGTAAAATGTTTGCCAACTGAGCAAAACTAGCTTAGTATATGAGCCGAGTTAGTCTCTTAACTGACGTTTAATGTGTTTTTTTCCTTGGGTTTCTGTGATTTTGCAGATCCAGGGCGCCATCATGGTAGCATCGTGCGTCCAGGTCATTATTGGAGCCACGGGAATCGTTGGTATCCTGCTGAATTTCATTGGTCCCCTCGCAATCACACCAACCATCACGCTGATTGGTCTATCACTTCAAAGTGCGGCCGCTACCAGGGCGGGAAAGCACTGGGGTATTGCAGTGATGTAGGTATCTAAATTGACCTTGTCTTTAAAATTAATGTGTTATGCATGTCAAAGGTCAATGGCCAAAGACACAAAATTACACATCCATAATGCATGTTGTGTCATTATGACCTCCATGCAAGGTCTAAGCAAGTGTATTACATTGCGAAATGCTGTCACGGCAGTTAATTTATTCTAGCCATTTTGGATAATACCAAATGTACTCAGATGGTTGTAGCGTAATGCTGCCGCTAAGCGTTACGGGTTTTCAATTTGTTGGTATCATTATAGTGGCATTATGCTGTCGTATTAGCATAGAATACCACCCATATTCCATCACATCCTGTCTGGTTTTTGTTCATGTACTTTAGGACCATTGCGCTCATCATCTTATTCTCACAATACATACCCGAGATAGGGGTACCAACATTGGGCTACAATTCCCGAAGGAAGTGCCACCTGAGCAGGTTTAAGCTCTTCAAATTGTTTCCGGTAAGAAAGTAGAGCCATTGAGGAACGATTCTCAACACGTACTGTAAAAGCCTGTTATACATAGTAAATACCTGTAGCTACGATCGAAACATAAATACATGGAATCAGGTTTCTTGTGCAGTCGGCACGGATTTCCAACATATAAATGTTTAAGGGCTCTTGTTATGTATTTTTTTAATGACATTCTTGGAAATGCACATTTGTGTCCCATTTTAACTCTAATTTCAATGTAAATTAATGTTTCCATTTTCAGGGGTATTTTGGTGCCTTTTTTGGTTTTTATGCTAAAGCAAATTCCCATATTCATGAGCAAAATTGTGATGTGATTCCAGGCAGAAACCTGCGATGTTACAGCTATTTCTGCACCAAAAGTTGCCAGAATTTGGGATACTTTGATGTTGTAGATTTTCTAGTCTTTGATAATTCGTTGTTGTGTCCGTACATGGCAGTAAGCCAGTGAGTCTGCTCTCACAAATGTTTTCAAAGAGCAATTAATTTGGTTTCGCAATGTTAACAGAAAACCCCTTAAACTGAACAGTGTCTTCCTGAAATGACATCACAGCAACAACGCCCTCAGTTGTCTGGAAAAGCAAAGAACATTTTAATTGTCTAAAGAAGTGCACTTTTCATTAAGATTGACAAAAAGGGATGTCAAATAGATTTCATATATTTAAGAGGAGTAGAAAGATGCACAAAATATGTTCCTAAGAAAAATTCATTGCATTTACCCTTTAACTTTTCCTTGCTCAGGTTGGTAAATGAGGTAGGGTTAGGTATGGTGGCTTTAAAGGGACACCGCTCATATATATTGACGCCAATATATATGTGCGATGTCCCTTTAAAGCCACCATAGTTAGGGCCTACTTATTATGACAGGGTGGACATGAACATATTCCTTGAAGTTGTATAGTACATGGCGTTGCCACGTTATCTGGGAACGAAAGTTGATATTAATAATATACAGCTAATCCTGTCTAAAGATCATCCTTGGTGTTGCTGTTTCCTGGTTGTTTTGCGTCATATTCACGGCCACCGACGTGTTCCCTGACGACCCTAACGCGTATGGATATGCCGCTCGTACCGATCTGAACAGCATGCTGCTGGAACGTGCGCCTTGGTTCCGATTCCCATATCCAGGTAACAGAGTTTCTCAAGGCACATTTATTAAACCATTGATTGACCGACTCGAGTCACAATTTCTAGCGACTCGACTCGACTCGAGTCCCAACGAGAAAACGACTCGACTCGCGTCCTTACTCGACTCTACTCGAGTCCCTCATCAGAAGACCGTCAACTCGACTCGAGTCGAAGGCTAATAACACACGAGTCCAAAACTGTGTGAAAATATAATTATGTGCGGTGACTTACTGCACAAAGATATTCATGTTCGCGTGCTTTGGCTCCCACTTCCCTTGTGGTTTTATAATGTATCGCACAAACTACTATCCTGGAACCAAATGTTCGACGTAAGGCCTATTCCAATTCGTGATGTCAACATCGGCGATTTTATAAGCCCTTCATGGAACACCTGCTAAATTCATGTCCTGCTTACAACAATTAATTAGACATATCTCTATGTGAGCAGAAACAGTTTTGTATGTTGCAATTTGGTTTTCACATTGTAAGCGTAAATTAGTCCAGACCCGAGATAAAACCGAAGTTTCGCTTCTTAATTATTACGTGGATCTTTGGTAGAAACGTCCAGCAGAAGCTGTCTATTGGGTGGCATAACTCGACTCACAAAACTCAGTCATTTGTTACCACTCTGCCTTTTCTTAAGATAGTCATAAACAGTTAAGACACAGAGTAAATAGTGAATACTTGACTAAAACTTTGTTTGTTGTCGATAGGACAATGGGGCACGCCCACCGTGACACTCTCCGGTGTTCTCGGCATCATGGCGGGCGTTTTTGCGTCCATTATTGAGTCCATTGGTGACTACTACGCATGCGCCAGATTGTCTGGTGCCCCACCTCCTCCCCAGCATGCTATCAACAGGGGTGTACTGATAGAAGGCATTGGGTGCATACTGGCCGGCGCCTGGGGATCCGGAAATGGAACCACGTCACACAGTCAAAACATCGGGACAATCGGACTGACAAAAGTATGTTAATTTAATCATGTCTCGTTTTCAGTAAGTTTTTTTTTGGCAGGAAATAGGACAATCTGAGCATGTGTATTGATTTGATAATAATCGTCCCCTTGGTAAAAATCGTGAAATATTGACTACAGTGAAAATATTCCGCAGCTAACGCCTTTGATGATGGTTGAGGAAAGTTGAAGTCTTTGGTAAAGTGTGTCAATCCAAATAGTTGTAGTCGGGACATATAGGCATAGAACTTGATGCTCACGTCGAATGTGGGATGTTTATGAGGTCACGTATGTCTGCGCATTATCTGCAGCAGCAATGTGCGAACGTTTCTTGTCAAACATTGGTCAAAACGTCACCGCAAAGCTTCTTGGCCCTGGCACCCTGCTGTGCAATATGATGCGCGTAGCTATTGATACCAGTGATGCCACCACCCTGGCTAAGCCTGTCCCAAATATCGACTTGACTAGTGTGTAGCGATCGTCAACTAAAATCGGTTCGAGCGAAGATAGTTCAACTGTGGTCCAAGAAGATCGAACTTTGATGCTCTTTGACTTCTGTCTTTGAGGTCATTCCTCCCTATATGGGCTGCGTAGGATCGCAATGATGTTTCAATTTGTTTTCTTTCTTATTTTTGGGGTCGTCAGGTCGGCAGTCGAGTGGTTGTTCAGGTGGCTGGATGCATCATGATAGTTACTGGACTGATTATAAAGATCAGTGCCGTATTTGCAACCATGCCGGATCCCATCGTGGGTGGTATACTCTGTATCACATTCGGTAAGCTCTCACTGCACCAAGTGTTTGCCATGTTTACTATGGTGGCGCCACCAAGAGTCAAGTCAGGCCATTCGCAGTACATTGCAAGAAATAGGTGACATCTGCGCGCTAAGGCCAAAAAAAAAAGTCTCCGGTTTCTGGTATGCGCGCGCGTCGCCGTAGCCATGCGCGTCGGCAAATTGAAAAAGGTTTTTTTTCAATGAAAGATGATGTCTCAAAACCGCCAAACTCACTGGTTTGACTGGAATCCTGCTGCTGCACAATTTTAACGTGTTTTAAGATTGGGTTATGGTCGAGAATAAGCTTTATGTGGCCTCTCTGGACTCCCATATATTTGCACTAAGTTTAGTCGGGCACCATTTGCAGTCATCAGCCGACATTTGAAGCAAAAAAGTCAGGTAAAAATAAAAAGCCGCATCGCCGCACCACTTTTTGGGCAAGCTCCATACCAGAAACCGGATACTTTTTTTTGGGCCTAAAGTAATCTTTTTACTTTTTGCCACTCGTGACTAAAGCATAAATGCATTTGTGATTTGTTCGTATACACAACAGACAGGCAAATGCCTTCAGATAGCAAGTCTATGCAGGTTGACGACTGTACGTCAAAAGGTGCCATCCTTTAAACACTTGGTTGCTAGCTGTATTACTGCTCGCTCAATGGTAAAATAATATCTCTTTTCGAATCAAAGTCCTCCGAAAATGCAATAGGGGGAATGTAACTTATTCTTTGGAAAGATATCAGGAACACTGCTCGGCTATTTGGAGAGTTGCAGTGAATTAATAAGAAGACTTTGAAGAATCATTTAGACTTCATTAGAAAATATATTGCATTTCTTTGCATAGATCTGCCTATATGTTAGCTGTTATTAATAAGAAGTGATTTGATCCTTGAGGTATGGTGACAGCGGTGGGATTGTCCAATCTTCAGTTTGTTGATCTCAACTCATCCCGTAACCTCTTCGTTCTTGGCTTCTCTACCCTGATGGGCCTTGTCGTGCCGTACTATGTCGAACAAAACTCGGGACTCATCAAAACAGGTGACTGATCACAGACGGAACGTGTTTTGACGATACATTGTTGATATTGACTTTGATGATATGTAATAATTGTTGCTTATTGAAATAAGGTGATATTCATGCTTCAATGGAAGGGATATCCATTTCAAGTGTGAAAACTAGCCCATTCCGGAAAGGGTATGGTTTTGGTTTGAAATGAACTGCAACTAATGTCTATTTATTGCCATTTTTGAAGTTATATTCCTCTTATGGTATACATCTTGATGGTAACCCAATGGTGTCGAATTTGCTTTGCAGGTTCTGTCGAGTTTGATCAAATCGTGACAGTTATGCTCACAACTGACATGTTTGTGGGTGGATTTCTAGCAATTATACTGGACAACACCATACCAGGTTAGTTTGGCGATGCCGGAAATAATAGTTGGGGACAGTTTAATCAATAAACCTTTTTACCTAATCTGTCATTGTTGTAGCCGAGTCCATTAAAGACATCAACTTGATCCGAGTCAACTCGGTCCCAGGTCAACTCGGTCCCATGTCAACTCAGTCCCAGTTGACCTGGGACTGATTTGACTTGCTACCGAGTTAATTTGGAACCGATTTGACCTGGGACAAAGTTGACATGGGACCGAGTTGACTCGGACCGAGTTGGTTTGGGACCGAGTTTACACGAAACCGATGAACGGGAAGAACAATAGCAAAGGAATGCTTCCGTCACAGTCCATTTGAATAGCTTGGGACTTGACTCGGAATTGAATGATTGTGATTGGCCTCTGAAGACTTGTGTTGGACTCTCGACTACAACACTGCATTTTCACTTCCAACATTTCTGTGCAGGCACCGACGAGGAAAGAGGACTCCTGTCCTGGCGAGAACATGTCACTGGTGACACAGCAGACATCAACAACAGAGAAGAGGAGACAGAAAATGAAGCAGGCAAAGCTGAAGGAGTTGAAGACAATGATCTGGGTCTGACCGTGATGAATGGCGGGAGTGACGGAGTCGTCCCAATAACAAACCGACCCACGGAAACCGCTTTACCACCGTGTTATGATCTACCGCTGGTTACGAGGTTCATTCGTCGATGGGCCTGGTGCCGTTACCTGCCCGTCAGCCCAACATTCCAGGGATTCAAATTCGGCTGGATTACTAAATCCTGCAAGAAAAAACACCGTCCAAATGGAGAGATACATGGACACGACCATGAAGGCTTTCAAACTCCGGCAATCTAAACTTGGCTTAACAACAGATGTATCATTCTGTATAGAGATCGCACCAAAAAAACCTCCGTTATCTCTGTCTATGAAATTACTAGAATTGTTGGTTTAATCTACACGGTAGTACAACAACAGTTACAGATTCACATCAAAATGTTCTTCCTTCTATATACACTCCGTTAACTTCTTTTAACACCATATCTAAATCGTAAATCTCGTAAATCTGAATTAATTAAAATCAAAGTATATGGTCACCTCAATAAGTAGGCATTTCTGCTATGGTAAACTTTGAAATCGTTTCCATTCAAAAGTAATGACGCCACTTCAATTTTTATTTTTCATTACTGGGTGAGAATAAGGGCTTTATTATTTGCATACTTTCCTTGTATGAATACGAATGCTAGAACGGATTGTTGCTTGGGGCTAATGCTTGACGTAAAATGAGTTTCATCGGTGTTATAATCATCAATTGTGTATTCATTGGCTAGTTTTTATATTGTAGAATGTTTGACAATTGTAATGCGGAAAAGGTAATGAAGGGAACTTTTAAATAAGCCGAGGTATTACTGATGCAGCTTGCTGGGCTAGATTATGCTTATTATAATTGTAGCTTCTTTAATCTGTATGATAATGTCAGTACTCTGAATGCTGAGTATATTTGACCGTTCCAAACTCAAAAGAGTGTTTCTCGGGCAGACCTAAGATATGTAGCAGTCGATAGCTTAAACATTGGTCAGGTTTCTGTACCTCAGAGTAAGAGCCGGCCGGATCTTTATTTTGATACGGTTAAGTCGGAATTTTTTTCCCTTCAATATTCGTTGGTTACGTTCAAACATTTTCTCACTTGTAATGTTTTAGGTTTTTTTGTTGAGTAACTTTCACTCTAATTATTACACTGTATATTTTGGTATCCATTGTAAGTATTTTTAACTTTCCATGTTCAACTATTTTCACATGTTTAAAGTTAAAACGAAATACTAGACACATTCCAATTTTGCATTATTTTGTTTTTAATGTTACCGGTGTATCACACAGATTATGTAGGCTGGCCATTATTATATTTGTACACAGGAAAATGTGTTGGTAAAGTTAAAACGAGGTGGTATAGATGGATGACATGGTTAGTCGGGTCTGACAGTCAGGTCGGCCTATATCAGTCCGTCGATAAGTCGGTCTGTCAATTGGTCAGTCAGTCGCACATAGTCGGTCACACATTATTTGAAAGTAAAACTAACCTTATAAAGATACCTTTGATACCAAAACTAAAATTGTAATTCACGTAGAGCAGTCTTCGTAACGTTTTATTCTTTATGTAATATAATGACCCGATAATGATGAAAATAATGCTGAAATAAACGTTCAGTTAATATTCGATATCCATATATAGGAGTTGTGTACATCCATATTTGTCTTATTAAAATTAATATCGTTCATGAATAAAAGCTAAACTCATTCAGTTAACTAGTGGTATCATCTCCTCAATGAAGCTGCTATGCAAATCATGTATTGTCTTGAAATTGTAGCCCAGAAGTTAAAGTTTGATAAGTTTGGCACAACAAGTTTTAAGAGGTTTTCGTCTTTTTCCAATTCAATACATTGTGTATTAGATCGCTAGAACGTGCCTACCAGTGTGTGCACATAATCCAGGTCAATGAGCATCAATGTTTCAACTGTACATGCACACATCAACGTTGAATTCGAAAAAGCAATCCCGCTCAAGCAATTCGGCTTAATTCGTGAAAATTACAAATACATATCAATTCAATGAGCACCTACCCTCTGGTCACCGCTCCCACCGCAGTTGCTAATTTACCGACGTTACTTCCCACTTAAACTTTCAAGTTTAAGCCTTAAACTAAAATTTGAACAGAAAATAGTCGAGCAAGCATCCATGCTAAAAACAAGCAGCTGTTGTCAGCTGGAAATTTTTGCATTCAAATTTGATATCAGATTTGAAGAATGCTGAACCTCTATCATCAACTGAAATTTTCAGATCACACTTAAATTATGTTTTCGCAAATACTTGATCCAGTCTAGCGCTTCTTTTTCTTGCAGGATTTAGTAATCCAGCCAAATTTGAATCCCTGGAATGTTGGGCTGACGGGCAGGTAACGGCACCAGGCCCATCGACGAATGAACCTCGTAACCAGGGGTAGATCATAACACGGTGGTAGAGCGGTTTCTGTGGGTCGGTTTGTTATTGGGACGACTCCGTCACTCCCGCCATTCATCACGGTCAGACCCAGATAATTTTTCTCCACATCTTCGTCAGTTTCTGCCTCGTTTTCTGCACTCTCATCTTCGTAGCTGCTGTCCTGTGTGTCACCAGTGACATTATCTCGCCAGGACAGAAGTCCTCTCTCCTCGTCTGTACCTGCACAGTAACAATCGATACCAAAATGTAAAACTGGTCAGTTGATTTCAATGTTCCCTGACTGTCAAGTTTCAGGATATCGAAATGACTTTACAGACGAACTCACCTGGGATGGTGTTGTCCAGTATAATTGCCAGAAATCCACCCACAAACATGCCAGTTGTGAACATCACCGTCACGATTTGATCAAACTCGACAGAACCTGCAAAGCAAGTTGGATCAGTATATTGATTAACGAGACACCAACGTGACAAGATCAAATGACAAACAAAATATTAGTAAATCAATTCTTTTTAATCCAATGGACCACGAAGTGTGCAAACATTACTGAATGCCCCTTGCAGTGGTCTCCCCAAGGCTAGGCCCAAACTCTCTATTTTCAACCGTTGAGACTGTATCAAATAAGGGTTCTCAAATCACTAGCTTTGCATGAGAAAAGGCCTCCTTTATAACAACTGGCACACAGAGTGAAGACAGTTTCTAGCAAGAACAATCAAGTACGACTGCGAACTGTTAATCACCTGTTTTTATGAGTCCAGGGTTTTCCTCAAAGTAGTATGGCACGATGAGGCCCATCAGGGTAGAGAAGCCAAGAACGAAGAGGTTACGGGATGAGTTGAGATCAACAAACTGAAGATTGGACAATCCCACCGCTGTCACCATACCTGAAAGATGAAGAGTTTCTGGTTACTTAACTCTGATTGCACACTATTGAAGAAAACAATATGAAACCACCTGGTTTTAGTTTGTTGGTCGTAGAGTGACAGCCGAGAGTTCTCTTTGTCACCCATCGGACTGACTGACCGACCGACTGACTGACATAACCCACTGTCATGTGTGACTTATCCTAGACAAGCTGGTTTACCCGATCATAGATCGGGTAGGGCGTATAGTGTTGGGGATGAAAATGTGGGGAGTTAAATGTAAATGGGGGATATAGTTGGGGAGACATGCAGTTAAAGAATAGCAATTTATGTGGTGTGATCTGAGGCAATTTCTGATCACTAAAACCAATTTGAGCAAAAGATCATCTGTGAAAGTTTGGAGTTTTGAGTAATTGAATCAGCTACATGTATTCTGAGCAATAGAATCATTATTGTAGGCTACAATGTTTTTATTCGGGGAAGAAAAAGTGTGGGGGGGGGGGGGGAGACCAAACAATGTCCCCCCTCAAAATGTGTGTGTGGGTGTGTAAGGGGGGGGGGGGAGGGGGGTTCCCCTGTCCCCCGTTGATTTACGCACATGATAATTATGTACCATGGCAACTGTCTGTAAATGTTGCCGTTGGTCTGTTAAATTGGCTTTTTGTGAGGCAGTCGCATTTGGAAAAAGTAGTGAAAAGGTTACTGTAGTACACAGGCGAAGGGTGGTTGTACAGTTTGACAATAAATCATAATGCAATAAAACGTGAAGGTGTCATTTAAAATGAAAATGTTGAGTGTTACCAAAAAATTACAAACGGTCTGAATCATGGAGGAAGGTCATAATTAAGTTTCAGTATTGGACTCTTCAACAAACGTAAACTTGAACTTCTTACAATTTGCGAGACCGTCTGCGATTCAACTTTTATTGAAGTTGGTTCAACCATCTATATATAAGAGCAAGTTTTACTCGGCCTCCGAGAAATGTTTGCTTCTGAAAGGATCCGAGACCGCGGCGATCCTTCGTTGACCCAAAACAGGCCCCCGAAATTATAACACGACACTGAATTATACCATGGAGGAATTCTTATTCCTCCATGATTATACGTGGCGGGCAGCGAACTCACAACGCTCAGCCTTGGTGGTGGAAGCATGGAGCTGTAAACACATTATGGAAGCAACAGCACTCTACACGTCACATGCTTGCGCTTCAAATAGCGAGCACCGTAGACCCAACCTCGTTTTCAGGGTGTGGAGCAGGCTGCAGTACGCGTTGCCATCGACAGTTTTGCATAGCCCGGAAATACTACGCAGTGTAGACTTTCGATTGGTCAGACCGCGCAAGGCATACTTAATGTGTAGTCCTTCTGAGTATTCGTTGCACTCGGCGCAGGGGCGGCAAGCGAAGCACATGAAAGAATAGGAGCACTTGGTGGCCACGCACCATGGAGAAAAAATATTTTACCAAGGTCACCCCATCCACAATTTGGTGAACGCTTTTGCAGAACGGCCGAGTAGAACACGTAAACGCAACCCCTACGTTGACCTCGCTGACCTCGCACAGTCTAGACACGCAGAAAAAGCCAGGACAGGGGGCGGCCAGGCAGTCAACGTGAAAGCGCACACGACGGCAAATTCCTGCGCAAAAAGCAGTCACGAAAAATCGACGAAACGGATCGCCGGTCCGTACGGGAAAATTAGGACGACCCGAAGCGTCCGACCCGGCGGAAGACACCCTCCGCATTTCTCCACGGACGTGGAGCGATTTTGGCGCCGCGTGAGCCCGCGGTCTCGGATCCTTTCATGAGCAAACATCGTCTCGGGGGCGAGTAAACTTCTCTCTTATATATATAGATGTTGGCTGGTGAAACAGCGGGGATAAGCCCATTACCCCGTGATGGGTTAAATCAAGCCTACTGTGTTCACCAGATGAACAGACTTCGAATGAGCACACATGAATCAAATGCCAAGAAATATAAACACTCTTGGACTATCTCTACAATGCTTACTTTGTCTTGTTTCGACACACAATCGGGTTCTATCAAGGCGCGGTTCTAGAGCCTATATTTTAAGGGATCTAGCAGAGGTGGATCCAGACATGTTTGCCGGGGGGGGGGGGACCTCGTTGCATATATTCAATGTGGAGCGCTGACAACATCCTACAATCATGCACGCTATATTACCTACAAATGCCCCCTTCTCACGACTATTTGTAGGGGTGGGGGTTGAACGCTCGCATGTGACGTCACGTTCTAACATTTGCTACTGCCATTTTTGTATGGATTTTTTTGGGGGGCTAAAGCACCCCCCCCCCTTGTCCCCGTAGAACCGCGCCTGGTCCTATCACTGTCGCTTATAATACACTTTTCCAACTAAACCTGCAATAGACGTGCAATTTTCCACAACCCTGAGGCCTTTAATTCGAAAACTGACTAGGACTAGTGAAAGCAAATATAGGATAGCGCACCAAAAGTGATACAGAGGACGCCCCCAACGACAGGCTCTGGTATAGTAGCGAATACAGCACTAATCTTTCCAATCAGTCCAGTAACTATCATGATGCATCCGGCCGCTTGAACAACCACTCGACTACCGACCTACAACAAAAAAGAAAACAAACATCAGTATCGTCCTAGGTAGCCAATAGAGGGCACTGTTGGCCCAATATCTGCTGGTCACAGAGGGCTTGCCTCGTGTCCTCGTAATTGTACCTCGTAAATGGTACCTAACTGTCTCACTGACTGATTTTAACTTGTAAGTAAACCTTGCTGAAGCCTTACTTTGGCCAAAACAAATTGACTTGGATGGATGACTAATTATACATGTCCTTGGACTGTGACCATTTTCACGTTGATATTTTACATTTAACATTAGGACATTTGGAGTATTGGCTTGGCAGATACAGAGACTTGATTTGTCAAAAAAGTGATTGATTTTGAAGCAACTTATCAAGGTTTCTTCGACTTAAACTATACATGAGTTACCTTGGTGAGTCCAATGGCCCCGATGTTCTCGCTGTGTGACGTAGTTCCATTTCCGGATCCCCAGGCGCCGGCCAGTATGCACCCGATGCCTTCTATCATTATACCCCTGTTGATAGCATGCTGGGGAGGAGCTGGGGCACCAGACATTCTGGCGCAAGCGTAATAGTCACCAATGGACTCAACAATCGACGCAAAAACGCCCGCTGTGATGCCAAGAACACCGGAGAGCGTCACGGTTGGCGTGCCCCATTGTCCTTTTAATAAAAAAAATAGACTCATCGTTAAAATGTTCAATTGCGCTAAACTTTCTTCTTGTAAAACAATCGTATAAAAGGAAATTAAATAAGAAGTTATCACCATAGGTTGCGTTTGCAGTTTGTTAATTACCTGGATATGGGAATCGGAACCAGGGCGCACGTTCCAGCACCATGCTGTTCAGATCGGTTCGAGCGGCATATCCATACACGCTAGGGTCGTCAGGGAACACGTCGGTGGCCGTGAATACGGCGCAAAACAGCCAGGAAACAGCTACACCGAGAATGAGCTTTAGAACAAAAAATGCCCCGACAACAGTGATGTAGCTCATGAACAACGTAGTTTTCAACCTCGTTCCCAGGGTGCTGATCAGCACGCACTCTCCACTACTTGCTCTCTCACACTGCTATTGTGGATCGTTTGCATAGATCCAATTTTGTTTTCGGATACGTATGGAAATGAGGAATACACCTACCTGTGCTTCATTTGTTTTTGTGTGTGGTGCCTGGGGTAAAAACATAATCATCGCGGCGTGTGTTACGAACACGCATTTTTTTCAAAGATAAAAATGTTACAATGAACGTGAAAACACATAATACAAGTTGGAAATAACACCAAGTACACGATATAAATCCATTACCTGCTAATTGCGCAATCGAATCAGGATACAGGAAGCAAGTTTTTTATACCAGTGCATACTATTGGAAACGAGGTTGACAATAAAGCAAGCCCTGGGGAAGAGGTAGGGTAGTTTTTGCTTTGATATTTTTGCTACTGTTTAGCCTTCATTAACTCGTTTCAATGCCTTGATTAGTATGATATAATATGGCCTATAACATTGCTGTCAAACTGGCGTGAATTGTCCAATAATAACAAAGGTCCCGCTAATTGTAATTGATACTCCAAAATGGCCTAAAATGTATAGATATGATGAAGCGCTAAACTTGCCCAGCCTATATCATGTATTTCTTTTAGGACCTACAAAATTGTCTCTACCTTAACGTAAATAAAACCCCACGGATTTGGAAAAAAAACTAATAAAGAGTTTTATTGATCAATCATCATCACATCCGTAACATAACTTAATTTGATATTCGTGCTGATTGAACCAGAGCGCTGCCGAGTGGTATGCCTGGGAACACGGTTACGCTGCATGGTTTGCGCAAAGAGTGCAGGGGTCGATGTGGTATTTGGTGCTAATTCTTACCGGAAACAGTTTGAAGAGCTTAAACCTGGTCACGTGACACTTCCTTCGGGAGTTGTAGCTCAAAGTTGGTACGCCAATCTCGGATATGTATTGTGAGAATAGGATGATGAGGACGATGGTCCTGGAATACATAACAACAGGTACAATATGATGGAATGTGAGTGTCATTGCTACATCAGTTCATGTGACCCACTAAGTTTCGCTGCTTGACCTCATGCAGCTGCTAAGTAGAATATGAAACTACTTAGGGAAAGTATGTGCAACAACATATATGAATAGCTGTAAACCAGTCAAAAGGTATATGCATTGATGACATTGTGGTTGGTGAGCGTTTGTGAAAGGCAAAACAAAACATTTCTGTGAGAAGCAGCACCGTGAAAATGGCCCCAGATGTCTTTGGTTTGTTATTTCATAGACCTGACTGAGACTACATTAACTTGGCTACCTACATGACGGCAATACCCCAGTGCGTTCCCGCCTTGTCTGCTGCAGCCTTGTGCAGAGATAGGCCGATCAGCGAGATGGTTGTTGTGATAGTGAGGGGACCAATGCAATTCAGCAGGATACCAACGATTCCCGTGGCTCCAATAATGACCTGGACGCACGACGCTACCATGATGGCGCCCTGGATCTGGAACAATTCCACGCCACAAAACCCAGTCGGTGATTAAAATTTAAAAAAAGAAGACAAGAATTCAATCTCTCTACAGAAAATCCATGCAGCCCAATATTTTTCTTGCTCTACGGACAAAATCATAATTTATCGGTTGTACGACCTTCTAAAAGGGATTTAAAAATGAAGTTGTTATAATTTTTTTGGTCACGTAAGATTGCAAAATCATCAATTTTAATTTTGATTTCCCTCCCCTGCAATTTCCTGTGATATTCTTCTTTGTATCCCTACCTCTCTTATTCTCGACAACCATTCCTCTTCTGCTGCATCTATCTCTGCCATTGTGGAATTTTCTGTGGATAAAATCATTGCATGATAGAACAATTGTTACTGTTGTGAGGATTCATAAACCGTCTGACAGAGTAACGATTGCTTGAAGCAACAAAGGGTAAGCTGACGCTTGGTGGCGATGTTCTACGTAGACAATACATTTGCATAAGAACAAATGTTTGGAGCCATGTGATCTGGTACACGGTACCCTCTGGAGACATGTGTACAATAGGGAACAACAGATTGTATACGTCCCCACAGAGCAATTTCTATGAATACGTCTCCACAAGGTTATCACGAAATAGATATATGGATTTTACTCAAAAACTAGGAATTTCCAAGGTATGTTGATCCGTTGCAAATTGAAGTATTTTATGTAAGGGATATTAAGCCCGAATTTCAGCCCAGGAAATTAATTCTGGTTAAAATAGGAGCATTTTGAAAGTACACTTTCAAACTCGAAAACTTTAGTACACGAGAACAACGAAATGACTCCACAAGGATACAGATTCCAGAATGTGTGAAGTTGAAATCCAGGTAGAATGTAACAACGTTCCTGACTTGAATGTATTAAACTTACCTGTGGGTGCAGGGGGACATTCTCCTCGTATGCGCAGAATCGAAAATGTCGGGACCAAAAAGGCAAATGTTGTTCCTTGGATAATAGGAAGCCTATTCGATAAGAGAAGAACTCTTGGTTTAGCAAACTTTGGACAAGACGAGTCGAGTCTAGATGCATAGTCGGTTGCTCGGTCAGTCGATGGTCAGTTGGTCAGTCAGTCCGTGGATCGGTTAGCCGTTCGGTGGGCAGTCAATCGGTCAGTTTGGTTGTCCCTTATACATAGAGGTATTAAAGACAATGCACTGGAAATTCTTTTCTTCTTATACTGAGATAATAAGAATAGACACACTTTTTTTTAATTAGGAGTTGTGATAATACGTGTCCTCAAAACAACACACAAATAAATGCAGTATTTATGTACTTAAAACTTGGCATAGGATTATAATTTGTTGATGTTCCCAAGCTCATTTTCTGGACGGGCTCTCTGTGCGTTTTAAATTAAGGGCTCACGAAGTGAATACTTCTTAGGAATATATGTTGTGCAACTTTCTAATCTTCTTAAGTGTATTAAAACTAATTGATATTCCCTTTTTGTTAATTTTACTGAAAAGTGCTCTTTTTTTTAAACATTTAGAATTTTCCATGCTTTTCCGGACAACTGTGGGCGCTGTTGTCGTGCTGTCATTTCAGGGAGACACTGTTCATGTCAGGTGTTTTTCTGTTGAAATAGTGAAACCAAAAAACATGCTCATTGAAAACATTTGTGCGAGAGGTTTGCTCATTGGCTTACTGCCATGAACTGACACATCAGCGAATCACTAATGAAAACAATGTTTACGACAGCGAAATATCCAAAATGTTGGCAACTTTTTGTGCATAAACTAATTGCAACATTGAGGTTTCTACCTGATATGACATCACACTTTTGGTCATGAATATGGAAATCGCATTAGCATAAAAACCAAAAAGGCACCAAAATACCCTTGAAAATGGCAAAATGAAAATTGAAACTAAGGTTAAAGGGACACAAAGGTGCATTTTCAAGGATTGCATTACTAAAATTACATTGCATGGGCCCTTTTAAGAAAGCTCATACTTGCCTCGATGGACAATCCTAATGCGGGAGACATGCCCCCGTGGCCTCCTTCCCAACGCTACTGTAATATGTTCGCACCAGTTTGCCGAGTATTTTGAGAGATGCGTTTAAACAAAATTGTTGATATGCTGAGCTACTCACCTTACTCCAATGGTTGTCTGAAGGACGGTTACTACGCCAGTGATAAAGAACAGGGTACCGATGATCTTTGCCATGGTAGCAGGGTCGTGAGAAATGCAGAGGTATGGAGCCAGAATGAACGCTGTCGAAACATTGCTTCCAAAGTTCGTCATGAAATGCTGTTTATCGAGAAAAACTCTGTTTATATAGTGTAAAAGTTGGCAATAATTGAATTGTTAGTGATGGGTAAGATACTGCTCTAAATTCCTGGGAATAAGGTAAGTCCTCTTAGCCCTAGTTAGTACAAAAATCTTGTCTCGATATCTCTCGTTTCAATTTTTGGTTTTTTAATTTTTTTTTTAGATATGGAGGATTTTTTTAAACCCCGGCTTCGCCATCGGCTCCGGCAACATCCCTGGCTGAAAAAAAATATTCAGAAACATTTGGTGTCCCAACCATTTAAAACTCCCATCCAATATTACATTCTTTGATGTTCCTGAAGCAGATCATGGGCCTACAATGAACTAGAGTCTGTCCAGTCAGGGTCATGGAGACTCCTGAAGCCACAGTGACAGACGAACCCGAGGTTTCGAAAAGGTCCAAAAGAGTCGGTGACTGCCAAACGCGCGAAGACAGCTGGCGAGGAGTACCATGCACGGACATGAACATGGCACTGCATACCGTCACGTGAGGTAGAACGTCAAGACGCATCATAGCAACAATGTATAATGTCAAACCATAGAGCTTAATTTAATATAGCTCTATGTGTCAAACGCAGTAGGAGGTATTTACCTGTCCTCATGAGGTTGGGTCTTCACAGCGAACAATAAAGGCCAAGTTCGGGCAAGGACCATTAGGCGACTAGTAGTTGATTTGTGACGTACCTTACGCCTGCGCACTAATAGCAACGTGCGAACGTCTCTAGTCAAACGCTGGTCAAAATGTCATCGCAAAACTTCTGGATCCTGGCTCTCTGCTAGCGTTATGAATGCGCGCGGCTATTGGTTACCAGCGAAGCAACCAACCCCAGTAGGCTGGTTCCAAATAGTCGACTAGCGTAGTCAACCATCGTCGACTAGACAGAGTTCGGGCAAACGTTAGTTAACCATTGGTCAACTATAGTCCTTGCGCGAACTTGGCCTCAGCTTTGACACCTAATCGTACACTAGCTAGGAAACCTCGTGTCTTCGTGCTTGGTCTAAATATGACGTTATGAAGTGAATTGACCCTGTCCATATCTCATTTTGCTGGACTATCTGATGCATCTGTGCATGAATAGGCAAGAACAGTCGTAGCAGAATGACGTCGGCAGGATATGCTGCGATGCATACACCTAGACCATAGTGCTTTTTTGTGCAAGTAACTGTTTGGGCCGAATAGAAATGAAGACATTTCAATAAAACAAAAATTAATGTCAGAGGAATGTTCAACAAGAGTACTGGTCAAAGAATGTAGCGCCATTAATTTATTCTGATGTTTACAACATCACCCTTTCGAAATATGCAAGATCTGTTCTTGGCCAAGTCTTTCGACCTAACTTCCGTTTTCCTTTTGAGCCAACAGCATGTGCTTCCTTTGCACTGATCCATTCCTCTCGAAATTTGACCGAGATGATGCAGCATATATTGTTACCTGTAAACCAAGCAGAATAGTGGTATACCAGGGCGGCATGTCCTCCAGACCATACACCAGATCATGGAGCGGCCTTGCGCGTCTGGTCCCCGTCTCTGCTTTGACATGGTCGGTGTCAACGGCCATGGCCGTCTTCTCTAAGAATCTTTTCCCATCGTCTTCACTTATATTCTTATCATCTAAATCTTCCGCATTAGTTTGTAAGTTGATGTCGGCCATTTCAACCTCCATAGCGTCATAGCCGTGGCGTATACTTTTATTCCGTACAGACGTATTGACGAGCAGACATGCAAAGGTTATCTGTGCGCACCATAAACCTCTTGCTTTACCACATATGCCAGCATTATCCATGCAGATAACCTATGAACACATTAACAAATCCAGGCGTAAGCAAATACTGATTAAATCATGACCAAAGTTTGGACGTTGACCATAAACATAACAATTGTCAAGATATTAGATAGGCCATTAATCTGTGGACTAGCTGGTGGCCACCCAGGAAGCCTGGGAACCCAGTGCGGTATAATTGTGCCCAATACCTCTCAGGAGCCTGGTGGTTTAGGAATTGTTTTTCCTCTCACTTGAATGGTAAATATTACCCAGATAATAATGAAGGTGAAAACACAGGCTTGCAATGGCGTTCATGGAAGGCTCCTTATTCTATGAAAGCATGTAGCATGAAAATGCGTGAAATTGCACCACCAATATAATTGTCATAGTAATTCTTTTAATGTAAATCAATGATGATTGTACAGTCACCATCATCTTTCACCATTTCTGTAATAAATTGGCATGACTTGATTGGTTGATAATCTGTTCAAAAATAGTTGTATTAAATGAAAGTGCACGTGCACTAGCGGTGCCGTATATCTCTCTTCGGATATGGAAGAAATTAAGCGCCCTCTTTTTTCTCGTTGATAAAATCATCAAATTGCCTGTGGAAGAACCTGTCTAATTTAAAGGGGAAAAAATACCCCAATGGAGATAAGATACGAGAAGAGGTGGGTCATGGTAGTGTGTGTTGTGGATGATAATTATCGATTGAAGTCAAACTTGAGTCAAGTCTAATTAGCCCGACTGCAAAAGCTGAAGTGAAAACACAATTATTTTGCGTGAATCGAATTTGTTTCGTTCAATGTCTCACTAGAATGGTTATGCTAATAAGTCAACTAAGGTCGAAAAAAGTCTCCGGTTTCTGGTATTGCACCAAAAGTGGCGCAGCAACGCGGTTTTTTCTCCTACATTTTTTCTTCAAATATCGGCATTGCAGATGACGCTTCGATTCCCTTAAAGCTCTCAAAAATATCCTTCAGAGTGGAGCTTTAGTTGACCTCAGTAAGGTCATAAGGCTTGAGAACTCTGCAATCACTTACGATCTCGACCGACACGAACATTCTTCGGGAAATTTGGATAGTCAAGACAAAAATCAGAGAAAGCGGGAGTAACGTTGTAACTTAGACCATACAACGACATCGACAACGTGAATGAGCTGCCAGGCTGGTCATTAGTCTGCTCCCCTACATATTGCGCTAATTAAAAAGCGTTTACAGGTTCCAGACACACGACCATCGCTCCCTCAGCCTGGTTTCCAGACGCACAATTATAAGCTACAGCACCGTCTGCAAATAATGCCCACTAAAAGTGCAAAATATATGGGAGCCCAGAGAGGCCACATAAAGCTTATACTCGATCGTAACCCCATCAAAAAAACACATTACAATTGTGCAGCAGCAGGATTCCAGTCAACCAGTGAGTTTGGCGGTTTGGAGACATCATCTTAAATTGAAAAAACAAAACCTTTTTAATTTCGCCGACGCGCATGGCTACGGCGACGCGCTCGCAGACCAGAAACCCGAGACTTGTTTGGACCTGTTCAAATTAATGTTGAAAATTATAAGCTGATTCGGAGTTTTGTAAATATTGTTATGTGTTTTTTTGTTGTAAACATAAACATTTGCCTTGGGAATGCAATGGAGGGGATGGAAAGGGGATTGGTATCCTCTGAAAACATGCAGCATAAAAATGCGTGACTTGGGGCCATTCAACATGTAGTTGGAAACATGCTGAAAGTTGACACTTGGAAGTTAACTAAAATGTATGTTTACCAGTGGCATTAAACCAAAATTTCAAGTCATGTAAACAAGGGATGACACATTTTATTGAGCGAGTTTCATCGGCTTTGTGCAAGAGGGTGAGATTTAAACTCCATACGAAACAAATACTCACTTTCAGAATGTCGATACAACGCTAAGACGGTGGCGGAAGACGTGTACTGCTACCGAAAGCTTCTGAAGGAATGCAGGATTACCCCTGATGTAATTGCACACCTCATTGATCGTGTGTTGCCCCAAACGATAAAGGATGCGTGCAATGACATCAGGGGTGATCCTGCTTTCGCTTAGAAGCGTTTGACCGCAGCAGGCGCCTTTTGCCACCATCTCCAGCGTTGTAGGCCTATCGATATTGGAGGACGCCAAGACGAAAGTGGCACATTTTGAAAGGGGGTATTTTTTTTCGTATGGCGTTTAAATCTTACCGTCTTGAACAAAGCTGCTGAAGCTCGCTTATTTCTAGAGGGCGGCACATAATGTATACTTTACCGAGAACCACCCCATACATTCAGGGAAACAGTGGACATCCAAGTTATAGAGGATGGTACACAATGTGTACAGTTCACCGAGAAGAACCATTCTATTCAGGGTAACAGTAGATATCTAAGCTATAGAGGGCGGTACACAATGTGTAAAGTTCACCGAGAGCCACCACGTCTATTCAGGGTAATAGTGGACATCCAAGCTGTAGAGGGCGGTACACAATATGTATTTTTCACCGAGGACCATCCCATCTATTCCATAATGTACCATACTAGCGGGATGCCGCGCTTCGCGCGGCACCCGCTAGATGGGTGGAGTTGACTGTTTCGTAATAATTACTGTATACAGTGAAATCTCGATAATAACTCCAATAATAGATTGTGCGAGGGTCCAGGACATATTGTCAATATAGGGGAGGGGCTAGTTAGGGTGAAAGGTGCTAGTCGGAACGCCCAATTTCCGTACAACCCGTCAACCATGTCACAAATATTTCCGGGGATGGGGAGAAATATTTCCAGGGACGGGGAGAAATGGTTTTTGTTATAGAGGGGAGATGGTGATATTGAAATCGCTGATATTGTGGAGGTTTATGTTTGTGCTGGGATTCATACCGTTTAAATGTTGTTTTAAATTGCGCACCGATTAGGAAGGTCTTGCTGTCAACAGTTGAATGAAATTAAGTATTTATTGCCGACCGATTGTCTCATGCAATGTCTCATTACATGTATATAAAGCTCATAACTAATGTTGTGCTGGAATATTGTCCAGTCAAATTGAACATTGATTTTTCAAGGTGCCAAACCATAAAGGACGTACATGTATACACCAACTGTACAATTAGGTAGTTTAGATGAAACGCGGTTTGATCTTGACCTTTACAACGTCGTATTCATAGTTCTCACTACAGAGGAGAGGAGGGGGAAGCCAGTGGGGATGGGGGTTGGATATTGTGTGGCCTATTTACATGGGCGTCGCCAGGATTTGTTTTCTAGAGGGGGCAAAACATATTTTTGCCAAAAAAAATGCCTGTTTTTCTCAACACATTCTCCATTTATCAGTTTTAGAGAAGGGCAGGGACATTTAGCCCCCCAACTCATTAAATTTAAAATTGAACTCATTTTTTCCCCTTCTGTTTTCTTTTTTTTGCTTTCGGGGGGGGGGGGGGGCAAGTGCCCCCCTTGCCCCCCCCCCCTTGCGACGCCCATGCCTACTTATGTTACACCTGTGAATGGTCACTTATATTTCCGGGGAAGTGGGCAACAATTTATATTCGTTATGGTGAAGGGGGTGTTTTTTATGTATTAAGTAGTAGTTAATGTCATTATAACAGTTCGTGTTTTTATTATGGTGATGGGGTTGTAGAGCAAAGTATTGTAACACGTTTATTTGCAGAAGAGAGTAAAACTATAAGAAAGGACATATTGGAGCACTTCATAATTATGTCAAGCACCACATGTTAAATGTATTTATTACAAAACTGTGAAAATGAAATCAGGTACAATGCACACACAATTTTTTTAGTAATAATGTATTTGCATTCAATACAGGGTAGTACTTTGACAAAACTCAGGGGATATAATTGTAGCAAATTTTCGGAGCGATTTTCGTAAGGGACGTCGGTCCAGGCTTGTTTAGCATAGGCAAAAACATTCCATGAAAGACTTTCAAGCGAGACGGGTAATCATTCCATAATTATTCTTGGATACAACTAAGCCAAGGATATAACTTTAAAAAAGGATGGACATAAAACAGCAGAAAAGAGTGATTATTTTTGCACTATTTCATTTTCATGACTTCTAAATAATAAAATTATGGCTAGAAGAAAAATGTGTTTTGAATGGGTAAAGAGAAAAAGCACGTCACGTCTTCGTCTTGAGTCGAGATTCTTGCTTTGGGAACTGGTTGAAGCATGCACTGGAGCATGCTTGGAGCATGGTTGGAGCTGGTCATGTGATGTGGGTGTCATCGGGAGTCCTGTGTAAAGGAGTAACAAAGAAAACTTGTAAAAAAATACATCGGCTAACAATAGCTACAAATAAATTGTTCCTGCGCGGTTTGTGCCTTACGATTCTGCGCGCCGTGCGTGCTCACGGGTGTCGGACGCTTCGCCCCATTTCCACGTCGCCCCATGTCACTTCGCCCCTAACCACTTCGCCCCATCCCCACTTCGCCCCATCCCCACATCGCCCCATCTCCGCTTCGCCCCATCCCCACTTCGCCCCATCCCCGCTTCGCCCCATCCCCACTTCGCCCCATCCCCACTTCGCCCCATGTAGTATAAAAAAGGGAAGGCTAGGGGTGCAGACCAAATAAACTGCCAAAGACCCCAGATAATAAATGCTCCCAATTCTAGAAACTCAGGAAAAATACAAACTCTCTGATGAGGTGCTCGAGACACAGATGAGAGAAATGATGGCTTAAATAAAATCATCAGCCGCTGGATTCAAAAGAATCCCGTAGGTATGGGTCAGTGAGTTCAAAGGAACTCACTGCCTTGAGGAAAATGTTCCGTCAAAATGTGTCTGATATGTGAGACTTACAACTTCATTGATGAGATTGGTTCCTCCAAGAGTGAAATTAGGATGTCAAAGGTATTGTCGTTCTCAGATAAGTGGGAGACGGGTTGGTATAGCCGGGTTGGGAACAAAGTTGGATCTTTTACTTCAAGCTTTTTTCTCGGTAGGGGAGAGCCTAGCTTGAGAGGTTGGTTATGAATTGTTCATTTGGTGATGGGCTAATTCTTTCCGTTGGTTAGCAATTAGTGAATCTATTGAAATAGTTTTTTTTTAAGCCAAAAAAATAGATGAGATTTTTTTTTTACATGTAACGGCTGGGGCGAAGTGGGGATGGGGCGAAGTGGGGATGGGGCGAAGTGGGGATGGGGCGAAGTGGGGATGGGGCGATGTGGGGATGGGGCGAAGTGGGGATGGGGCGAATAGGTTAGGGGCGAAGTGACATGGGGCAACGTGGAAATGGGGCGAAGTGTCCGACATTCGTGCTCACAGCACATCGCGCAGAAATCGCCATCTTTATTTTCGGGTTGCGTGTTTTCGCTGTGCTGTCATCGTAATTCCCCCCCCCCCCCCCAAATTTCTCTAAAAAAAAATCAAAACCCGGCCCTCTATCTATGACATACCTGTTTATTGAGAATGTCTCCAACTATTTTGGTCGGGCTTTTTTAAAGTGGATTTTGTTCCCTATAGGAACCGGGCCCTTCTACTAAATACTACACGATCGCCATGTCCGAGGCCCTCGCGATTGGGTCACACTTTTCACAAACAACAATTGTCATTGCCAGCAGTGGTGTTCGAAAGAATACTTATAATCCTTTGCCAGAGGTGTTCGAAAGAATTACTACTAACTATAATCTATAATGTGTCATAGCACAAACCGGACTTACCATTGAAAGAGAAAATTGTAGCATAATCAATGCATCAAACGACCATCAAACGAAGCTAGTAGTGCTGAGAAAATGTGGGGCAAGCATGCCTTCAGCTTTGCATGTTGCATGGAATACCGTTGCATGCGCTGCAGCGCATGCTCCTCTATACGAACGTATACGTATACGTGGCACGACAGGTGTAGCGTGAATATCCGACTCCATGAAATGTGGACTCATTGGTAGTCCTGCGCACGCGTGAGTACGATACTGTGCTATTTTTAGGATCATTTTGGGAGAGTGACCTGTCACGTACGTGCGAGGGATCAACCAATAATAGGGAAATAGGGGTCCGATTTTCATAGGAGTCGAATTTTCACGTGACACCGGCCCGTACGCAAGATGGCGGCCGGCTTAATGGGGAAAGGAATTCTGGGAAATATGGGGTGAAAATAGCCGGGCCCCGTTCCGCATCCCCCGCAGCCAACAGGCGCGATGGGGACGGGAGACCGGTCGGAGACCGGTCGGGAAAATGGCAGCGCCCCCGAATCATTTTCGTGATTGTAGTATAGATGCCACTGCTGCCAAACATTATTACATTCAGCCTACAGAGGGCGACACACGCCTCAACAAGGTGTAATAATCTTTAGACGCAGCATCGTAAAAGTCGAATTCAAACAAACTAGATGAAAATGCTCCACCAAAGCTCTAAACATACAAAGTGCTAAATAGTACACCTGAAGATTCATTATTTAGCATTATCCTCTTAGCACTTGTATAGTGACTGCACTTGCAGTGCTGGTTTCCCTTGGAGTGCAATCATAATATTAAACTTACATTCTACACGGGGTCCGGAATTGGGACAAAATATGAACATTTACAGTAAGCCCTGACGTCAGTGGTGCACCCGGGGGGGGGGGGGGGGGGCGCAGGGGGGGGGGGGGGGGGTGAGCCCTCCCCCCCCCCCCCAAAAAGAAGGTTGTCCATTTGTTTTTCTTAATAGACCTACATATCGGCGAGGGTGGTATGGGGTAGTCCTCCCCAGTCCATAATTACTGACCCTATATATAAAAGAGCCAACACAAAAAACCGTTAATGCACCACTAGGACAACAGGATGACATCAAGGGTGGAGTTTAAATTGATATCATTGGAAGACACTCAGGTTCCCGGGACTCTTTTTCCCCTTAAATTTAAATTATCTCAACGATGAATTTGAAGAAGAAAATAGTCCAAGAAAATATGAGGTCCATCTCACTATTCATTAGTCTACTGTGGCAGCTTGCCGATAGCTGTTCTTTAGAATGCTTTAATTTAACTAGTTGACTCGACAAATACAAGGCTGTGACGCCATGCCCGAGTTCTTTTCTCATGAATACAAATAATGTTTCCATTAAAACTACTTAATCATTTATTATATTGTTTCACCCGCCGTCGAAATTGTTTCACCCGCTTTGGATTGTATAAAACCTAGAGAAACTCTGCATGCAAGATCTACAACTGTTATATACACGTAGGAACATTCAATTCAGTCGGTTGGACATGGAGTGATGGTCAATCAAGCGAAGAAAGAGGAAAATGAAGGTACATGTATATGCAAAAATCCATCCCTTTATTAGCCCGAGGCTATATCGATCGACTGGCGGTTTTATAATGAGAAAAACGTACTTAGGCTGGATCAACGTGGATGAGCCAATTCCACACAATAACCATTGTTGCGTTACTGTGGAAACTGTATGACAACAAGAGGCCATTTTGCAGACATTAGGCTCATTGTGCCAGGGAGTGGTGAAGTTCCCGTTTTGACACGGATTCCAAAGTAAGGAACTGCTGGCTGGAAATGAAAAACCCGCGTAAAATGTTGGAGTTAGTTTTGGCTCTTGGGTTTGTTAGTACCCTCTCTTTGCTGCCCGTGCGAGGGAAGATGTGTAGCGCCATGATCAAGGCTGCACCCGGTGATGATCTGACCGCGCTTCGTGACAAGGCTTTCGTGGCTTTCAGAACCGAGTGCCGTGGTAAACAAGGAAATCTCGACGACACCAAATGTAAGTGATTCTAAAACACCTCGTTACTATTGCAATTCCAAGCGTGGGTAAAGTATAATGACTTACAAGGAAAAACTAAAAATGATGGGGGTTTCTATAATGTTTGTATATAACAAAATGAGAACCATGGTTGGCACTAAAATTGTTCATTAGAAGAATCTATGTAAATGTATGAAAACAATGGAGTCGTCACTCTGATGTCACTATAATGCATTTGTGTAATTTGTGTCCTCTTTTTAGATTAGTTTGACTATTTCTAGAGATATATTTTAAACTCTTCTGTTTGTCACTTCGTCAAATTCAATAGCAAAACAGCAATGCCATCTAATGTATATGTTCAAGTTAAGGAGCTTTAGTGTTTTAGGCAACATTCTTTCTATATCGTCATGCCCTTAGTATTATTAAGTACAAGGCAAAACAATCCTTTAACTTTATATATAAATCGTTCTACGGTAAGTTGAGTAAGAGCCTACATTGGATTGCCCGTCCAACAGCGCCCCCAACTATCAGAATACAGAACGATATAATGGTCTTTATATATATTACACACCCAACAACAGTAGATCTCCATTGGTAGCCCTGTGTTATATTGGTGTTCTATCAGGTCATTTACGTGTAGCCTACAATTATTGTCTTATTAATATCATTCGGTTTTCACTGTTTATTTCCGTATTATTTGGGGTTCACTTAGCTTGCTCGTTCACTACGGAGCCGTCCATGCCTCCAATTGCCACGTTCATCTTGCAGCCGATGAGGGCGCCTTTCCGGTTGGACTTGGAAGTAAAAACCCCAAGCAGTGCCAATGTAGTCTTGGCGGAGGAAAAGACAGAAGTATCCGTCTTTGCCTGGATAAGTGAGTGTTCCAAACTGTTATTTATTCATTTCAATTTTTACGGGCAAAAGTAACAAACAAAGAGAATAATTGAGTGATTGTGACAGGAGATATCTGTCCACATTTTTCTTGGAAGAATGAAAGTTTTCATAATTTTGGCATGCCCCTTTTATTTCAGACGATAATCAAACAATTAAACAAGATAATGTGTCGTGTAATTATTGTATGGGAAGCAACGAGATATAATAGGGGAGGCTATTGCGATAAATCTTGCGAGGTATAATCTGTTTGGAAAAACATCGCTATGAACTTTCGCTTTCTGGGCTCTGTATAAAATACATGAATTGATTTACGAAACACACGGCTTTGTCTTTGTCTCCAGCCCAAGATTCACAACCGTCCTGCTGCGTTCAAACTGAATAAAACTCACCGAACATTGTCAGTTGGAAAAGAAAAGGAGTCAATTGTTCAGCCAGTCTTCTGACTCAGGGGACTAAAGTCAAGTTGCTAGAGCTCAAAGCCACACACAAAGACAAGGTTTCGTAAACCCTATAATATAATCGAAACTGTTTTATTGATATCAACAGCCTTGGGTGGCTGGAGCGGAAAGAAGTCGGTCATCCGAGCCTGTTTCGATTGTCAAGACTTGTTGGGTGGGCGTTCAGTGGACAACGAGGAAGGTATCGTAAGTGGCATTGAGAGTCACCCCTTCTGGATCGAGTACAAGCACGGCGTGGTGACCGTCGGCAAAGGAGGACAGGAGGAAGCTTTCTTGGAGTGGGACGCCGCTGCGTATCATCAGCGCAACATATCAATTACCCCGGTGTACGTTGGTATAAGTTCGTGGACAGGGGAATCCGCGCACTGGGTTTTCCACCATTTCTGTGCCTAAGAAAGGCAAAAGCAATGGGCCTAATTTTTGGGCTTAGGAGGTACGAAAAGATGCAATACGTATATTGAGGCATTTTACCAAATATATTTTATTCTAAGAATTATAGATTCAAAAAAATCCTTCTGAAGTTTGGCAACCCATAAAGTCACGTCAATAAACTGAAGTTCAGTCTGTTGTTGGCATGCACTAAAAAATAGAGCACCCTTATTCGTTTAACATAAATGGCAAATTTGACGATCCATTTTTGAAAACGTCACAGTTGTTTTTACACATGTGCTTATGGGAGCCAAGTGGGGACGAGGTTGACACCCTACCTGACTTTCGTGAACCTTATTTGATAGTGATCAAGCGAAAGTGATGAAATTAGACGTGGGGTATGTCTTTCTGTTGAAAGTGTTCGCTTATGTTTTTCATTCACGCTTATGGGTGCAGACTCTTAAAAGGCCCGAAATTGAGCGTACACGTACACCGGCCATATCACGCCCACACATTCCCCAGCATTGGAGCATTTTAGGGGCATGAACTTGACAGTTTGTAAAAAAGAAGGGTTGAAGCCGTGAAGAGGACTGCGAGCTCATGCGAAATTCGCATGAAATTAGGCCCTAAAATTGTTCTATTTTGCAATGAGCGTAGGAGTCCTTGGGGGGATTGCGATGGGGTTTATGACTACTTTTAAGGGTGATCCTCTTTGGATGAAATTTTCTTCCAAAGGTTATCAGTTAACCCCCAAAAATTGACAGAACATGAAAGATGATGAAATATCGTGTCTTAAACACCTTGGAGAGTTGTAAGTATTTTCTATCTTTTTTTTGAAGTGGGTGTAATTATCACTGAAGCCTATGGCCATTTATTTACTGGTCTGCAACGTTATAATCTGAACTAGTCTTTGCAAATGTTGCACATTTGTCACTTTATAGTTATAAAGCTTTGTTATTAACTATTGTCAAGTGAGTGTAAGTTCTATATGAGTGATGCGTTATTAGATTTTAACAATTTATAGTACGACGATCAGATGTTTTTACATTGTTTCAGTAATGCAATCGGTACGTCAAAAATAAGCACGCGTTGTTGGGATTTTGCTGGGCACAACTCCAAATATTCGTGGCTCTCCACGTATTTCAATTATAAATTCAGGCTGTCAGTTCAGTTTAGCAATCGTTTATGTTGAGAGCAGTCAGCCTGTGGCCTTCGGCACAAGGAGTAGGCATAATAACCAGAGAAGTGTCCCTTGAAAACGACAATGCTTCAGTAGCATCGCGGGGAGTGTTGAATCAATATCACAAGACACTTTATGTTCGTCATGGGAACGACTGCTGAACTGAGGATGCCTTTCTTACTCGGCACGGCGCTGAAATTAAAAAATAAATATATATATATATGTACTTTCATTCAATTTTGAGAAAAGATCAAAACAGCCGTGAAATTTGGATGAACGTAGCGGCAGCCGCAGTGGCCTGCTGCGGTACCTCTATTACAGCGTTGTGTATTGAATGACCACAATTAATCAAACTAATGGACTCCAATGCCAACTAATGTACGTTTCTCCATATCTTGCAAGGTTAGAATATTACACACGCCTCTATTACAGCATTCAGCGGGAAAACTGAATAATCACAAGGAATGACGTATAACTTCGGTAACCAATCCGTGAATTACACATCCTCTGCCTCTACCAATTTCCTTTCCATGCAATACCAAAATTCAACACCATCGAGCCGCGGTTTCATTCAAGTTGTCTACGTTTTGGTGTTAAGTAGTTTCAGATGGAGAAAATGGCAAAACAGATCTTTGGTTTGGAGTTATTTTACATTATATCCCTTGTATACCAGGGAGCTATTTTGTCTGTCTCCGGAGTTGAGACTTCATCTTATACAGGGGAATATACGTTTTATGCCGCTGAAAATCGTGCCGTGAGAGATTTTGCATTTGCAACCAAAACTGTGCGCTCTCGTGTCATTTGTGGACGGGAATGCAGCATGGATGAACGTTGCAAGTCGTTTAACTTTTACGACTGCAATAAAATGTGCGAGTTGAACCTTGCCACAAGACGAGAGCATCCCGAAGACTTCAATGCAACTCAAGGGAGTGTGTACTTTGATGCAGATGAGGACACACCTCTCTACTCACTGACTGATAGCTCCTTCAATCGCTACAGAAGTTGCAAGATGTTTTTATATGCCGGTTATTATTCAAGCGGTATTTTCACAATCTACCCAGAGGGATTAGGTAATGGCGGTCTTTGTGTCTACTGCGACATGGAAACTGACGGCGGAGGATGGATCGTGTTTCAGAGGCGACAGGATGGCAGCGTGGACTTCTACCGTAACTGGGCCGAGTACCAGTCTGGCTTTGGCGATCTGTCCGGTGAGTTTTGGTTGGGCAATGACAACTTGGTGACTCTTACGTCTGATGATTCACGTGGGACATGGGAGCTACGAGTTGATTTAGAGGACTGGGAGAACAACACGGCATGGGCAAAGTACTCAGATTTCAAACTATCCCGGGGTAACTACAGTCTGATTATTGGCCGATACAATGCCAGCAGCACTGCCGGTGACTCTCTTGGGCCCCACAAAGGAAGTCCCTTCACAACAAAGGATCGTGACAATGACGCATGGGGGGCAGAAAATTGTGCACAAACCTACACTGGAGCCTGGTGGTTTGATAAATGTTTTACATCTCACTTGAATGGTGCATATTACCCACAAGGCCATGTAGGATTTGCCGAGGGCGTGCAATGGAGGAAATGGAAAGGGTATACGTATTCTTTGAAAAAGTGCAGCATGAAAATGCGTGAATTGGGACCGTGAATATTGTATAAGTTGCAAACACGGCACTAGTCTTAAAATTAAACATATATAATGAACATTTTTGCCTATGGATACTGGGAGTGGGAGGGGGCACGGGAACTTCCCCAATGACGTAGCGATCGGAATGGGTGTTCGAGTGTTGTTCCCCCTCCTTCACGCCCATAAAAAAAATAGAGAAAAAAGAAAACTGAAACGGCGGTTTGGCTTTATTTAGTGTAGAAAATGTAACAATAGAAAGTATTTGGCAGGTTCCTTTTATGCTGCTACGAGACTGTATATAACACATACATTGTACATGTACAAATATATATATAGACAAAATGTATAATTAACTGCGCCCAAAAATGGCAAATGACGTCCAATCGTCCCCTCCCCCTTTATGAACTTTGGAAAACGCGACCCTGAAGAGTTACTCTCTGAGCTACTGCTGGGTAACGGCAGCGGCCCTTTTTTTTTCATTTCAAAACATCAACCCCCTAACCCCTCCCAACAAAAAAAATTCAATAGAAAATAAATAAATATTATAAAATAAAAATTAATTAATAGAAATTAAAGTCACCGCAAACAAGGAGATTGTCATTTGAGAAAAATGCGAGTGGCTCTAAAAAAACTGAGAACTCATTGAAAAATGTCTCTAAAGTAACACCATACTTTTTGATGTATGGCATTCTCTACACGATGACAAGTCTCATTGAAGCAGAGTGTGATGAGACTGTAAAATCCCCAAGGTCAAAGGATTTAAAGGGTGTGCAATATGTAAACAATTTTACTATATGTAAACAATATTACCCATCTGCACATAGAACACGAATCTTCACTGAATTACACCACGTGGTTATAATCAGACAGTTCTTGTGAAATAGCGTAAATGGGTTCAATTTGCGGAGTAGGGTCACCCCTTCAATAGCGAAAAAAGGTGGGTGAATCGAACTTTTCCAGAGCATTACTCTATTCAACGTGAAATTAATTTATCGCATTCTTTATAATTTATCGATAAGTTGCAGCAAAAAACAACAAATGATTTCAAACTGTCTAGTGCTCACAAAAGAACAAAGGACAAAATTCCAAATGTTTTTCAGTCTTGATGGAAAAACACATAATGTACAAGTTAAACATTTCATCAAATAAATGTAGTCAAACAATAGTATAAACTCCTCCTGCCAATTTCCTCCTGCCAAGGCGTACAAGTGAAAAGCTTTTCTAATAATCCGCAAAGTCATCGTAGTTACGGATATATGCGATTTCAGCTGTTTACAATGTGGTTTTGTCGATGCGCGTAAACAGATGTAGATATAAATGAAAAAAAGCCGACTGTTAACATGAAAATAACAGGTAGATATCCCATTTTTGTCATTAGTTAATCTGAAACTGAACATGCCACATAATGCAACGCATGTACTGTCTAATTTTGAAGATCAATTTTGAGAAAAATAAATAACTCAAATTTAATTTACCTTGAATGACAAGCGCTCATCTGGTATATCACGATACAAGGAGCAGAAAAAAAGGCTATATTTGGTTGGATCTGAAAGCGTTTATTTCACTATTTTGCCTGTACATTGCATAATATAAATAATGATATTGAATAAGCTGAGTGATAAGAACCAAACCATTATTGATTCTTATCACTCAGTTTGCTGTTTGCTTTTTTGCTTGTATATTGCGGCACAAAAAAAAAAGGTTCCAATGACCTATGACGTTGAATAAACCGAGTGACAAGAACCAATTCATGATTGATTTTTCCCGATTTATTTAGTTTCCTGTTTGCAAGAATGTGATTTTGTGTTTAGCAGCTGTAGGCAACTGGAACTATGCTTCAAAACAAGTATGTCTACCTTTCCATACAGCCCTGGTGGCGGATGTAGGGGGGGGGGGGCATCCGCTGACAAAGGTCATAAAGCTAGTAAAATTGAGCCAAAAATTATAATTGGAAAGCTAACGTTCCTTATTCATTCTCCAATAGTCTTTTACAGGGGATGGCCCCAGGCCCCACCTATCGGGGCATGACGTTTGGAATTCCCTCACTCAACCCCGTTGATATCACCCGACCCCCTCCTCCCAAGATTACTCGTAGCTAGATCCGCCTCTGATGCCGCCACTTCAACTTTGATTTGAGTCCTAAAACAGTAACTAATTTCCAGCTCTGATCATTCCGAACTTCGTTGAGAATCGTTCAACAATCTTTGAAACGTCACCCCTTTAACGAAACATTGAAACCCCAATCAAAACCATTACTGGTTAAGGAACCTGAAAAAGTTACATTAGCCTACTTCAGATATGGCGGACACAATAGGAGGGCGCTATTTGCTTTGGGTAAATACAAAAGAGTTTACCCAAATCAAACAGCACCCTACTTTTGTGTCTGCAATAACTCAAATAGGCTAAAAGATTATGTGTAGATCTCGATTCAGAATCCTCGGAATACATTTTGCATATTCTTGGATTTCGAAACCGCAACAATATTATCATACTTGCATGTCTTTTGGTTTTGCATTTAGGCCAAAAATGCAACCAAGAAAAGACGTCAAAAGTCTACGTCTAGAAGACGTCTTAAAGACGTCGTGTGCCCACTGGGTATAGTCCATTACGTGCTATTGTGCTATCGAATCAGGATACAGGAAGCTTTTCCGTCTTTTGTCTGATTATGCATTAATACACCACTGAACACTGCAGTATGATGGGAAGCATCAGCTGTAGAGCAAATTTGGGCGACGACTATTAGTCTACTAGTGGTTGACTTTTTTGTATGCACTGTTTGCTGCCCTCTACAGATTGGATGTCCTCTGTTCCCCTGCATGGATGGATAGTTATCTGTTACTGTACACATTGTGTGCTGCCCTCTATAAATTGGATGTTCGCTGGAAGTTCCCCTGAATGGATGGGATGGTACACTGTGTGCTGCCCTCTATAGATTGGATGCCCGCTGTTCCCCTCAATGGATGGGATGGTTCCCGGCAATATGTAAAGTATGTGCTGCCCTCTATAGATTGGATGTTTGTTGTTCGCCTCGCCATGCAAGCATGATAATCGTCGCGGTTTCGAAATCCAAGAAAATGCAGGAAAAGGGCCAAAATGTATTCCGAGGATTCTGAATCGAGATCTACACATAATCTATTAGCCTATTTGAGTTATTGCAGACACAAAAGTAGGGCGCTGTTTGATTTGGGTAAACTCTTTTGTATTTACCCAAAGCAAATAGCGCCCTCCTATTGTGTCCGCCATATCTGAAGTAGGCTAAAGTAACTTTTTTCAGGTTCCTTAACCAGTAATGGGTTTTGATTGGGGTTTTAATGTTTCGTTAAAGGGGTGACGTTTCAAAGATTGTTGAATGATTCTCAACAAAGTTCGGAATGATCAGGGCTGGAAATTAGTTACTGTTTTAGGACTCAAATCAAAGTTGAAGTGGCGGCATCAGAGGCGGATCTAGCTTCCAGTAATCTTGGGAGGAGGGGGGTCGGGTGATATCAACGGGGTTGAGTGAGGGAATTCCAAACGTCATGCCCCGATAGGTGGGGCCTGGGGGCATCCCCCGTCAAAGACTATTGGAGAATGAATTAGGAACGTGGGCATTCCAATTATAATTTTTGGCTCAATTTTACTAGTTTTATGACATTAGTCAGCGGATGAACCCCCCCCCCTACATCCGCCACCGGGGCTGTATGGAAAGGTAGACATACTTGTTTTGAAGCATAGTTCCAGTTGCCTACAGCTGCTCAACACAAAATCATATTCTTGCAAACAGGAAACTAAATAAATCGGGAAAAATCAATCATGAATTGGTTCTTGTCACTCGGTTTATTCAACGTCATAGGTCATTGGAACCATTTTTTTGTGCCGCAATATACAAGCAAAATAGCAAACAGCAAACTGAGTGATAAGAATCAATAATGGTTTGGTTCTTATCACTCAGCTTATTCAATATCATTATTTATATTATGCAATGTACAGGCAAAATAGTGAAATAAACGCTTTCAGATCCAACCAAATATAGCCTTTTTTCTGCTCCTGGTATCGTTATACTCCAGATGAGCACTTGTCATTCAAGGTAAATTAAATCTGAGTTATTTATTTTTCTCAAAATTGATCTTCAAAATTAGACAGTGCATGCGTTGCATTATGTGGCATGTTCAGTTTCAGATTAACTAATGACAAATATGGGATATCTACCTGTTCATTTCATGTTAACAGTCGTTTTTCCATTTATATTAACATATGTTACGCGCATCGACAAAACCACAATATAAACTGCTGAAATCGCATATTTCCGTAATAACTACGATGACTTTGCGGATTATTGGAAAAGCCTTTCACCCGTGACTAAAGTTTTGAATTGATACTATTGTTTTACTACATTTATTTGATGAAATGTTTAACTTGTACAATATGTGTTTTTTCCATCAAGACTGAAAAACATTTGGAATTTTGTCCTTTGTCCTTTTGTGAGCACTAGACAGTTTGAAATCATTTGTTGTTTTTTGCTGCAATTTATCGATAAATCATAAAGAATGCGATCAATTAATTTCACGTTGAATATAGTAATGATCCGGAAAAGTTCGATTCACCCACCTTTTTTTCGCTATTGATGGGGTAACCCTACTCCGCAAATTGAACCCATTTACGCTATTTCACAAGAACTGCCTGATTATAACTACGTGGTGTAATTCGGTGAAGATTCATGTTCTATGTGCAAATGGGTAAAATTGTTTACTTGCATTCCCCCACAATAACGTCCTCATTTTCTTCCGATATTCCTTTTCTCTATCCTTCCTTCCCCTTTTTTTATTTTATTAATTTATTAATGTTATTTTATTTTCTATTGATTATTTTTTGTTGGATGGGGTAAGGGGGTTGTTGTTTTGAAATGAAAAAAGGCCGCTGCCGTTACCCAGCAGTAGCGCAGAGAGTAACTCTTCAGGGTTGCGTTTTTCAAAGTTCATAAAGGGGGAGGGGACGATTGGACGTCATTTGCCATTTTGGAGCGCAGTTGATTATACATGTTGTCTATATATAATTGTACATGTACAATGTATGTGTAATAATACAGTCTCGCAGCAGCATAAAAGGAACCTGCCAAATACTTTCTATTGTTACATTTTCTACACTAAATAAAGCCAAACCGCCGTTTCAGTTTTTCTTTTTTCTCTATTTTTTTATGGGCGTGGAGGTGGAAAAACAGCACTCGAACACCCATTCCGATCGCTACGTCATTGGAGAAGTTCCCGTGCCCCCTCCCACTCCCAGTATCCATAGGCAAAATGTTCATTATATATGTTTAATTTTAAGACTAGTGCCGTGTTTGCAACTTATACAATATTCACGGTCCCAATTCACGCATTTTCATGCTGCACTTTTTCAGAGAATAGTAATACCCTTTCCATCTCTCCCATTGCACGCCCTCGGCATATCCTACATGCCCTTGTGGGTAATAAGGACCATTCAAGTGAGAGATAAAACAACCATTAAACCACCAGGCTCCTGTGTATTGTTGTGCACAATTATGATTTGCCGCGTCCTTTGTTGAGAAGGGCTGTCCTCTGTGAAACCTGTAGGCAGCATAATCGCGGTTATACCCAAGAGAGTCACCGGCAGTGCTGCTGGCATTGTATTGACCAATGATCAGATTGTAGTTAACCGGGGATATTTTGAAATCTGAGTACTTTGCCCATGCCGTGTTGTTTTCCCAGTCCTCTAAATCAACTCGTAGCTCCCATGTTCCACGTGAATCATCAGACGTCAGAGTCACCAAATTATCGTTGCCTAACCAGAACTCACCGGACAGATCACCAAAGCCAGACTGGTACTCGGCCCAGTTACGGTAGAAGTCAACGCTGCCATCTTGTCGCCTCTGAAACACGATCCATCCTCCGCCGTCAGTTTCCATGTCACAGTAGACACGAAGACTGCCATTACCGAATCCCTCTGGGTAGATTGTGTAGGTACCGCTTGAACGATAACCGACATCTAAGAGCATCTTGCAACTTTTGTAGCGATTCAAGGAGCTATCAGTCAGTGAGTAGAGAGGTGTGTCCTCATCTGTATCAAAGTACACACTCCCTTGAGTTGCATTGAAGTCTTCGGGATGCTCTCGTCTTGTAGCAAGGTTCAACTCGCACATTTTACTGCAGTCGTTAAAGTTATAAGACTTGCAACGTTCATCCATGCTGCATTCCCGTCCGCAGATGACACGAGATCGCACGGTTTTGGTTGCATATGCAAACCCTTGTAGTTTAAGATTGTCAGCAGCATAAAATGTATGTTCCCGTGTGTAAGATGAAGTTCCCAATCCGGAGACAATCAAGATAGTACCTTGGAATACCAATGACACTACGTAAAATAACTCGAAAACAAAGTTGTGTTTCGCCATTTTGCATCTGAGACTTCTTAACACCACAACGTAGATGACGTGAATGGTATCGTTGATCGCTGGTGATGGAATTTGGTATTGCATAGAAAGAAATGGGTAGAGGCAGACGATAGGTAAGTCACTGATTGGTCTACAGGGGGTAATACGTCATTCCCTGTTATTGGTCAGTTTTCCCGCCAGTAACAAACCGTAGCATTTGATTGGCTAACTGTTGTGATGCAGGAGTGATAAGAGTAGTCTTCTTTCTTCGTAAGATAAGGTAACACGTTACGTAGCATTAAATTCTTATTTGGTTTAGTTGCTGGTCACCTTATTGAATTCGGTCCTGTAATAATAAAGATGCAGCCTTTGATATCAATTTCACGCTCTCTGATTCTATTCTCAATATTTAATAAGAAAGCCCTTCTGGATTCCACCAACCATCACTTAATGAAGACGCCTTGAATTTCGGCAGCATTCTTAATTACGAAGCAGTACCGATGATAACAAGCCGACCTCCTACAATAGATATTTTGGTCCCTCGATTTAATAAGAATAGGTTAGACTGGGGAGTATTGCTGTTTGCGATAGTTACTATGACTACACTCTTCGGCTGGTACAGTTCGAAATTATTTCTTCGATGCCAAGGTATACAGCTAGCCTGCTGACTGGCGCTGTTTGTCATAATGCGGTACTGGCATTAAAAATAGCAGCACTCTTTAACTGTAGTATAATAAATGTCATAGACGAAGAGGAAAGTTGGTTGGTGAATTATAACCAAATTTACGGTTTCGTTGCTATCAAGAGGAACCCAGATCCGAGTTCTGTTTATTTATTTAACAACAAATATTGTTTTGTTGATACCCAGTGAAAAACAATAGTGATATTTTTGAGAACAATCACCGTCATTTCAATTGAGCAAGGCCTCATTAAATCTTTGGAATTAATAATTTATTTACGGGCAACAATGTACCCTATCACGTATACAGCGAATTTGGACAAATAGGTTTGTTTGCCTTTGTTTTGTAATCAATGGTGCTCGGTCATCTGTGAGTGAATAGGTACACGAACTAATATTTAAGATGAAACCTCTTTGACATTGTACAATTTCCTAGCGTGTACACGTGAGCCCATTGTTTTTGGATTACCTTTATTTTGATACACCCTGCATGTAGATGGAAAGGTAGATATATTTGTATTGAAGCATAGCCCCAGCGTGTCACAGCTGCTTCACACAGTACTAGAATCGAATTCTTAAAAAAAACGAAAACATTTAATAAATCGGGAAAAATCAATCATGGATTGGTTCTCGTCACTCGGTTTATTCAACGTCATTGGTCATTGGAACCTGTTTTCTTTGTGCCGCAATATACAAGCTAGACAAGAATTATTGATAAGAATGAATAACACTGAGTTTGGTTCTTATCGCTCAGGTTATTCAATGCCTTAGGTCAATATTAATTTTATATAATGCAGTAACTATACAAGCAGACAAGCAAAATGTCACATTTAGATCCACCCCAAATAGTCTATATATAGGTCGGGCTACCTTGTTTTACACTCCAAACAAGTAGTCGTCGTTTAAGGTAAATATTGAGATAATTCATTTTTCTTCAAATTAAAGGTTTTCCCGTTCAAATTCGCAACTTGTTCATTCATTCAGAAAGAATGTTCATTCCATTTCTGAGAGGTGTCAGGGATTCGAGTATGAATACGGTTTCTAATTAGCAGGTAGAGCTTTCAATTCCATAAATGTTATGAAACAAGCTTGTCTTCAAAGTTTTCGTGCAAGCAAATCTCATTGTGTTAGTTGGTTTTGGAATTAGCACGAAAAAGTAGAACTTGATACAAGTATTCATTCAAGGGCAATGACATTATGGTTCAACGTCATGTGGAAATTGCATTATGCTAAACGTCAATCGCATTGGCTTTCAAATATATCAGTTTCGTTGAAACATATCGTGGTTTTATTGAAAGAAATGGCTGTGATTTTTAATATCTCTTTTTGAGGTTCCAATTCATCGAAATGATCACACCTCTTATGAAAGAACCACTTTGGTGTCAATCTATAAATGTGTTAAGTTTATCTAGTTTTATCGTCAAGTGTCCACCTAATCTGTTTCTATTACATTGACACTTTCCAATTGTTTAAGGTCTACGAAATGTGTTGTGCATTCTTTTCAAGCCATCATACTTTTCTTATAACAGGCTAGTCGGCTGTACATTCCTTGATAAACCTTTCTTAACGGTCATTTTTGACACATGCCTTGAACAAATTTCACTGAATTTGAACATGGGCGGAACTGCAATCCAAAGCTCTCAAATTACATGCCCGAGTTATGTGATTTGCTGCCCACTTTTCACTCATGGACAAAGATACAATGAAATATTTTGATTGGGGGGGGGGGCCATTTTTAGCCTTTTTCATGTGCTTTGGATGAAAGTTGCAAGACCGCATGAGCGTGGTTTGAAATTGGACGAGAAAACCTCATATTAACCAAAGTAGAGGTGCATGTATGCCTTAAAAACTGGACATATTCAGTTTCAGATCAACTAGCATTGGTTTTTCCTTTTGAACTTCCACTTTTCATGTAACTTATTACATGTTAATTGCATGACGACAAAACCATTAATTTTAAACTCTCTCGTTTACGAATTACTGTAAGGCAATTAGTAAACGGTCCTAGTGACTAACTAGATTGCAAAAGCAGACCAAAAAGCTTTAATATTTCAAGGAGGCATAAGTGAATTCTTTGAAAATAAAGATAGACATAAAAAATCTCTATGCACTATGCATTTGTTCAATATTAATGAACGTTTCACAAAAATAATACCAAGACATTCTCTATGGGTCGGGGTAGTCTATTTCTCTTTATACTACATTTTATACCTTTATATTTGTTCGTGTTATTATGGGTAAAATCGTCACCTTTTTCACAAAGAGCCATATGTAAGGATTTTGAAGAAAAAGTCTACTGGAGATAATCGCAAAAGAGGTTTCTTTTATTTCCAAACTGTAAAAAATACCACTTTGCAACAACTTTGTGCAGTAGTAAAACCATTATATGATTCTATGAAAGCTGAATTTGAACGTGATCCCAGTAATTATAATTAATACAGTAGTTAATTTGTGAAAAATAATTAGCAAAGATATTTTGCTTACAGAAACATGTCAAAATGGTTAAGTACAATGTTTCAAAGCAAAAAAGTGAAAAAATCGAAATCAAAATCGAAAACATTGTATTTTTTTAAATAATTATGTGGTTCTTCGTGAAAATGGTGACGAAATATTGGCTGCATCTTCTGTTTTCCATTGTGTTTGAATTGCAAAAATGCGACTTAAGACTCATTGGGGTCATATTCCATTGGTAAAAAAAACTATTTTTATTTGCAAGAGCCGTGTTTGCAACGTATCAGAGGTTTATGGTCTCAATTCACGCATTTTCATGCTGCACGTTTTCAGAGAATAATAATACCCTTTCCATGTCTCCCATTGCACTCCAATGCTATGTTGGACACGCCCAAATGGGTGATATGGACCATTCAAGTGAGAGAGAAAACAATGTTTAAACCACCAGGCTCCTGTGAAGTATTGTGCACAATATGATGAACCCGAATCTTTTGTTGAGAAGGGACGTCCTCTGTGATTACCAAGAGAGTCACCGGCAGTGCTGTTGGCATCGTATCGGCCAATATTCAGATTGTACTCACCCGGGGATATTTGGAAATCTGAGTGCTTTGCCCATGCTGTGTTGTTCTCCCAGTCCTCTAAATCAACTCGTAGCTCCCATGTTCCTTGTGAATCATCAGACGTCAGAGTCAACAAGTTGTCATTACCCAACCAGAACTCACCGGACAGATCGCCAAAGCCAGATTGGTACTCGGTCCAGTTGCGGTAGAAGTCCACGCTGCCATCTTGTCGCCTCTGAAACACGATCCATCCTCCACCGTCAGTTTCCATGTCACAGTAGACACGAAGACCGCAACTACCGAATCCCTCTGGGTAGATTGTGTAGATACCGCTTGAACGATAACCGGCATCCAAGAGCATCTTGCAACTTCTGTAGCGATTCAAGGAGCTGTCAGTCAGTGAGTAGAGAGGTGTGTCCTCATCCGCATCAAAGTACACACTTCCTTGAGTTGCATTGAAGTCTTCGGGATGATCTCGTCTTGTGGCAATGTTCAGCTCGCATATTTTACTGCAGTCGTTAAAGTTAAACGACTTGCAACGTTCATCCATGCCGCATTTCACTCCGCAAATGGCACGAGATCGCACAGTTTTGGTTGCATATGCTGATCCTTGTAGTGCGCGATTTTCTGCAGCGTACATGAGTTGTTGTCGTGTATGAAATTCATGCCCATTGACAAAAATCACCACTTCCAAAAATACCATCAGATTCACAACTTTGAAACTGGCGTACAGTTTTGCCATTGTAAAAGAATCTGATCAAGCGTGTTGTTTTTGAAATGTTCACTACAATGATATTAAGTCGAGCCTCGAACAAGAGAGTCAAGTTCTGATTGGATAAAGATACAGCCGGCTATGAATTATGAAAACGAATCCTCGAAATGACTGCATTGTCTTAATCTGTTAATCTTATGAGTTCGATGATAGGTTTCACGTCAGAACACGCAGTCCAACTTGTCCCGTACAATCAGCTTAGATCTGCTAAATTCATTGCATCAGACCATCGCTTACACTGCAGATATCAACGCGTTATCACAGCGCAGCGTCTGGAATGAAACTGGCGACGTAGCGCTCCTGGTTTCCAGCAAGGATACAATTCTACGGAGATGAGAGGCAGTGATTGGTCAGTTAAATGAATATTAATAAACAGCTTGCACTGGATTGGTTATTATCACTTACCAATGTCATGTGGACCTGAAATGAAATCTTAGAGAAATACACGTGTAGCTCCGCCCAGGATGACGTAAAGATTGGATTGGCCAATGGACCCATTTCCAAGGGACGATGCTGACTCTCAAGAGATTCTCTCTCGCCAAGATTCAAGCACGCTCAAAAGTAACAATCCCCCCATAGGCGTAGCCAGCGGGGGGTAAGGGGGGTATTTACCCCCCTCCTATATATTTTGTAATCACTGCCTTTTTCAATTCAACTGCCCTTTTTTCCAATGGGCTTAGCCCCCCCCCCCCCAATAATTTGTAAAGAGTGCCTTTTTTTACAAAGTGCCCTTTTTTCTGCACAATTGCCCTTTTCAAAAAAGAAATGGTGCCCTTTTTGTGTCATCTGCCGTTTTGGGTGCCTTTTTCAGAATTTTGCACATATATCGCCCTGAAAAGCACCATTAATTTGAACAGCGGTTTTGAACAGCGCCCCCATCGACAGATGGCACCCCCCTCCCCACCCCGCTTGTTGATTTTACGGAGGCCAAGTGTCCGGAGAGAAAAAGCTGCCTACATTTCACCACGGATGTGCAAGTGCCCTTTTCAAAAATAATTACCCCCCCCCCAATAAAATGACCGCTCTACGATTATGTACTTCGTCTTCTTTACATTTATCTACCGATTTGGTGGAGGCATCAATGTGAGAGGGGTAGTTGTGTTGTTAAGGGTAGTTTTCCATCTCGAGAAGGTGCACAATCTTGTAAATGCGAGAGAGGTACTTGTGTTTTTGAGGGGCAGTTTTGCATTACAAGAAAGGAAACAGTTTTATGTGTGGTGCAATCACAATGCTTTTATACCTGTGCGTTTGATGGAAAGTTTTGTTTTCATCTGGAGAGGGCACATTTATAACTGCGAGAGCGGCATTTTTGATGGCCTGGGAAAATGGGGCGGGGGGGGGGGGTACTTGCCCCTGCCCCCCCCCCCCCCCGATTCCGCCGCCCTCACACTTGCAAACGACGCAATATTGATAGATGAAACGTAATTTCTGTTCATTCGGAAAGCGGTTCATTATGAAAAAAGGGTGAAACAGGCTTAATGGTTTCATTTTATTAGTGTAACTTATATTCTTCAATTATGGTATTGAGATGCTCGTAACAATCTTACAAAAGCCTTTTCCGAGGATAGTTTTCTTAAGAAATCAATAAACCAAAATAATAGCAATTTCATAATGTGGGCACTTTAATTTTTCTATTGAAGGGGTCAAGAAGCGCGCCACCAAGGGTTAAACTTTCAGGTTCTATTGTCAGTTACTTTGGAAATACTTAGAGACGGTTTGACTGTACTGAAATATTAACAGGTTTTTTTTTTCAGAACCACACATTCTACAAACAAATACTCAGGCACACTTGTACCACAGATTCTATAAGTATCAAACATCAGAAAGTTTAAATACATTTGTTGTTACTGCTTCAGTCATTCTTAGGACAAATATTGAATTTCTGGTCTTAAAAGCAAAGAAAAGCAAATCATGTTGTCGCGTTGATTAAACTTGGAGGCCTATGTGAAACCAAAACTCACAACTAATGCGCCAAACAGATAAAAGCCAGGTTGAGTTGTGTTAAATATGTATTTGTTGTTTTTGATCTCACGAAAGTAAAACATTAAAATGACCTTCACAATGGGGTACATTTAGCAGTATTGTTGATGTGCCTGGAATGGACTTTTTTACACGCCGCTCACTGCCATTCTTTGTAGTCATACACGTACGTACTAATCATAAAAATGATCACCATTCGGTGTATATACACCATGACAACAATATAATATGTACTGTCATGACAACAATATCGGCAAACAAGCTGAATTATTCAGTCACCTTTGGAATCATAATGTTTGCAACTCTCACACAAGGGGTAATTTCGCTTGAAGTATCTGTTAAATAATCTATTATTCCGCTCGTGCGCAAGTTATTATAGGGTTTAGTACACAATGGGAGAAAATCAACCTATTGTTGTTCAAAATCAATTAACATTTGCCACAGAAGGCCAAACCGATAGTTAATGGTTTTGTTCTATTGTGTGTTTTCGCAAAGCTAGGTACTGCATAATACATGGTAGTGGCTCGTTTTGTTTTGAATGAAAGGCAGCACCGGTGAAGCATTTTGAAGATGAATAAAATGTGTCCTTGCTCATCATGCCGGTTCCAGCCTGTGACATCCCGTATTGGCATTTGAACAATTTCATAACAGAACTCTTGGTATTAGTACGATCATAACACATTCCTAAAAGTTCCTGTACCCCATTTCCGCTAAAAATTGTTGCCTATAATGGTCGTTTTCAATAATGGACTTCAAAAGGTATTATACTTGATATCAAAGGACTAGTTTATAGACAATTCAAGTCAACGCCAATGTTCAAAATAATTTGATGGCAGTAACAAATACTAGATTTGCACTCGTGTACGAGACAAGCTCATTCCACATTAAAATAATCATGTTACCATTTTAAATGAATGGGTCAACCGCTTTAACAAGAGTACCAGCGGATGCATAGACTCATTTCTTCCTACGTATTACGTAATAGGCAATTGCGCAAACGTCAACGTTTCGTGTGCAGAATTCCCGCTACTCACAGCTATTCTGATATGTGTGCAAAACATACAATGCCCTTCCTAAAAGTACAAAACACTTCCGCTTACGCTTTCATCATACCCCCAAAACTCATGAAAAATATCATTTTTCCATTTTTTAAGGGTTTTATATTTGTTTGTGTAGCCACTTCAATTTGTGGCAATTTGCCACTGGCTACGTTGTTCTGTCTGTTTGTACTGTTTCGCGCTGCATATTTTTTTGTGCTTGTGTTCTAATGTCGACCTTATCCGCTCCGTTCACAAGTACCCCCTCACCGGAAAAGAGAGTACAGTTGGGGGTGACCGACTGACGCCATCTTGCCTGACAGCAATTCATTTGGTGCGAAGCGCGGCCACTGCGTGTACATAATTCAAATTCCCCGGTTTTCGTGCGTCACACACAATGAACAGTGCGCGTCAACCAGCGAAATGTCCCGCCCATGGGACGTCGTTGCTAGGTAAAAGGGCGCCCTCTTTCTTCGGCGCACGGGGCTCATAGAGAGACATGCTCTTGAACGTGTGCACAAAATAACCCAAACGTTAAAGACGCGTCACCCCAACGTAACCTTATCCTCCCTCCGTGAATCTTTGTAAATGTATCATTTTTTGCATCAAGAAGAATCGATTTAGCCTATTTGCCTAGAAAAAGGAGTTGAAGCAGGACAATCACTTTGTATTTTTTTAAAACAAGCAACAAGAGTTTAGAAAACAATTGGTTGGGACCCAACGAAGATCAATCAAAACGTGTGATATGACAGTATATCACACAATATAGCACATGCATTTTGAACCCGCTTAATGCGGTCTAAATGCACAAATGGTATCCCATAGAGCAAGCTGTTTGGATGGAATATACACGGACAAGTGTTTCAGTACCAGCACGTGTTAAATTCTTCCTATTAGATCTTATTTTGTGAAGATAATAACAATCTACATTGCACGTTCATTACCACATGATCTTTCATTAGCATCAAACCACGCTCCCAAGTTCCGGGCAAGAGTCACAGGGCTAACGACTGATCCCCCAACCTCTATCCCATCTATGTTAACTCTTGCCAATTGCTGACAATTTTACCAATAATGCCGTTTTAGTATTGTGGAACTCGCAATGCGCTGACTGAAATGTAGGGACAAAAGGTTATGAAATGTAAGGGGTGATTGTAATGGGTTTCTCAAGAATCTTCGGAATACTAAGACAAGATAAGTTTCGGTAGCACCATGTGAATAAATCTCTTTTCTGAGTATGTGTGGTTCTGAAAAGAACCACACGTACCCGGAAAAGAGATGTATTCACATGGTGCTACCGCAACTTATCTTGCTTAGTATCTTTCCACCATGCAAACCTTCAAATCTCAATCTTTGGAATCTTCGGAACTGTAAATTGCTGACTGGACGATAGTTTTCGACCTAACTCTTTACAGTATTGTTCATGTGTCTCGAATTGATTTAATCTTTACATGCGTCTCCCCGCCATTCTTGGAAGTCAGCTGTACTTCCATGTAACGATTACCGCTCGGCCTTGATGCATTGCCATGACAACAATATCGGCAGACCAGATGAGCCACCTTGAGTTTCATAATTTAGAGGTTTGCATTTCGACAAAGGATATAATTTTCATTTCAGCCAGGAATTTATCATCTTTTTTATTTCACTGATATTTAAAACCAATTAACATTTACCGAGGAAGGTGAAGCAGGCAGTTAGTGGTTTTGATCTATTGTGTGTATTCGCAGAGCTACTGCATAATAAATGATAGTGGCTCGTTTTGTAACGCAGATGCCGTACATTGTCATAAAGGCAGCACCGGCGAAGCGAATAGGAGATGAACAACGTGGCATTGTTCGTCACTGTGGTTCTAGCTTGTGACATCCCGTAAGACATGCTACTGTGCAATTTCATAAGGATGAACAATCTTTAAAGAAACTAAACAATTACCAACGAAAGTTCATTTTATTTCCAGCTTCACACGAAACTTTCAGATCATGTAAACTAGGCATGGACGATTTTATGGAGCTAATTTCATCAGCTCTGTACAAGAGGGTGGGTTTTGCAATTGTTTAAAA